AGTAGAGCTTGAAATTCGATATTGTGATCCCTCCTGCATTGTTTCTTTTGCCTAGAATTGCTTTGGCTATTCTAGGTCTTTTGTTGTTCCATATGAACTTTTGGACTGTTTTCTCTATTTCAGTAAAGTACATCATTGGGATTTTAATGGGAATTGCATTGAATGTGTATATCAATTTTGGCAGTATAGCTATTTTCACTATGTTAATTCTGCCTATCCAGGAACATGGGAGATCTTTCCATTTCCTGGTATCCTCTATGATTCCTTTGTTGTTGTTGTTTAATTGTGAAAATACCATACAGAGGGGTTACAATTACATGGGCAAGATAGTGAGTACATTTCTTATCAAGCATTGTTGCCTCCTCCTTTGTTTCCCAATACCATCCCTTCCCCTCTCCACCCCCCCACCCCCACAACCCCCCCTACCACCACCACTCCCACCCCCCACCCCGCCAAACTTGTAAAGTTTGTTTTTCGACATAATGTCTTGTACATGTCATTGTTGTAATGGATCCACCTGTATCCCTATTTAAACAGTTTCTTTTTTTCCCTTCCCCTCCACAAATTATATCAACATCAAATACCGTGAAAGCAGGGCTTATATCCTGGGGGAGGTACATACAAAGCAACAAATATGATTCTTTTTTTTTTTTTTTTTGGGTCCGGTCGTGGGGCCTGAATTCTGGGCCTGGGCGCTGTTCCTCAGCTCTTCAGCTCAAGGCTAGCGCTCTACCACTTGAGCCACAGTGCCACTTCCGGCTTTTTTCTTATGGGGTGCTGAGGAATCGAACCCAGGGCCTCAAGCATGCAAGGCAAGCGCTCTACCACTGAGCAACCTTCCCAGCCCCATGATTCTTTTTTTTTTAGGCTTCCTTTACGTCTTTGGTTAGGTTAATTCCTAGATACTTTATTTTATTTTTTTGGTTATTATGAATGGCGTTGTTTCCTTGATTTCCCTTTCTGCTTGTAGATTGTTGGTGTACAGAAAGGCGACTGATTTTTGTGGGTTAATTTTGTATCCTGATACTTTGTAGAAGTGGTTTATAAGCTCTAAGAGTTTGGGGATGGAGCCTTTGGGGGATCTTGGTTCGAAGCCATGACTTTCCTTGGTAAGAAAGTCAGTGAGAGTCTTTAACCACCAAAAAGCCGGAAGTAGAGCTGTATTTCAATTGGTAGAGTATCAGCCTTGATAGAAAAAGTTAAAGAAGCCAGGCACTGGTGGCTCACGCCTGTAATCCTAGCTACTCAAGAGGCTGAGATCTGAGGATCGCAGTTCAAAGCCAGCCCAGGGAGGAAAGTCCGTGTGACTCTTATCGCCAATAAACCACTAGGAAACCGGAAGTGGTGCCGTGGCTCAAGCGGTAGAGTGCTTGCTTTGAGCTGAAGAGTGTAGGGACAGTGCCCAGGCCATGACTAACTGAAAAAAAAAAAAAAAAAGAAAAAGTTAAAGAATAGCTCCCAGGCATTGAGTACAAGCCTCAGGACTGGTGCTCGGGTGCAGGCTCGTGTGTGGACGCTTGCGCGTGCGTGCGCGCCTGTGTGCGCACACACACACACACACACACACACACACACACACACACACACACACACACACACCTCTAGTTAATAAAAGATGTCTAGCAGCAAAGGGAAACAATCACTGAGTGCCACTTGCGTCAGGAGCACTTGCAAAGAAATGGCCACCAGGAAGGATCTTGTTATCTAAAAACAGAGAAGTTATGTAACTGAATGAAAAACAAGTACAAAAGGATTCAAAGAGAAGCCCAAATTAATTATAACCTTAGGGTTCTCAATTTAGCAATGTGGATGATTTACCAAATTGGGTAGAGTGACCAGTGGGACAAGTTTGTAAAGAATAATCAGGGAGGAATTAAGTTTTGCTATGGAGTTTTGAACAATGAGTGTGATATGGTTTGGCACTCAGAAAAAGCACACCACACAATTAGATGGTTCTAACCAGCTTGATTAAGCCAATGAAGAGATTCTTACAGACACAGAAAGCTTTTGTTCATTTTAATCACACCAATTTTTCTTAAAATAATGTTAAAGATAGATGACATTTTAATATGCATAGAATATGGCATGTGTATATATATGTGTGTGTGTGTGTGTTTGTATGTGACATATGTATAAACAAAACTCATGCGTATTTCTTTAGTTCTCATAACAATTTTATGAGGTACATACTATTATTTTTATTTTACAGAGTGGTTAGTTGACAGATGTCATCGAGCTAGTAAATGATGAATTGGATCTGTGTAATACAAATTCTGAGTCCTCCCTGCCTCCCCCCTTCACTCTTCCCTCCCTCCCTCCCTCCTTCCCTCCCTCCCTCTCTCCCTCCTTCCCTCCTTCCTTCCTTCCTCATTTCCTCCCTCCTTTCCTCCCTCCCTTCCTTTCCTTCCTTCCTTCTCTCTCTCCCTCTCTCTCTCTCTCCCTCTCTCTCTTTTGCTTTTTTTGGTGCCGGGGCACCAAAAGAGACATATTCTAGGAAATAATAAATTTTATTTTCTAAATACCTCTTTATAAGTTCCTCTTTAGCCTATATACTGTTCACCATCTTGACTATCACCATCATGCCCACTCTATTCTAGTTCTATGACAGGTTTATGGGAAGCAAGTATTCGTCCAATAAACATTTGTTACATGAATACCAATGATGCAATCAAGGATGACAAGTAGTATAAGTCAGGACAGAATCGGAACAGTAAATTATAATATTATAAGAGCTGTCCAGGATGAGATCCCTTCATTCATTCAAAACATATTTATGCAGGGTGCAGGTGGTTCTTGACTGTAAATTAGCCATTCAGGAGGCTGAGATCTGAGGATTATAATTCAAAACCAACCAGAGCAGAAAGTGTATAATAAGACTTATCTCCAATTATTCCCCCCCAAACTCCCCCCCCCCCCAAAGTGGTTCTGTAGTTCAAATGGTAGAATACACAAAAAGTCAAGGACAGCACGTAAACCCTGAGTTCAAGAACAGGACCAGCACACAGACACACACAGACACACAAAGACACACACACACACACACACACACACACACGTGCACACTCATAAGGCGCCTACCAGCTCAACACTGCTCTGCTACACAGTCTTTGCTGTTATAAATCTTGAAGTCTCATGATAAATCAGCAGCACAATTCAGTAGGATAAAGTGCCACTTCTGGCATTTTCTGTTTATGTAGTACGGAGGAATTGAACCCAGGGTTTCATGCATGCTAGGCAAGCACTCTGCCACTAAGTCATATTCCCAGCCCCATGATAAATTTTCAAAGGGCAAGTAACAAAGAGGGATTATTTAGGAGACATTTAACCCAGACGTGGGCTATCAAGAAATAATTTCTAAATTGTTAGTGGCTAAGGGAAGAAGGCTGGAAAATGATGGAGAGAGAGTAATTTAGATGTGTAAAAGCCCTTGATACAGGAAAGCTAGTGGTAGGCTCTTGATTGCTTAAGGTTTCTTTCTTTTTTTCATTTCATTTTTTTTGTCCGTTGTGGGGCTTGAACTCAGGGCCTGGGCACTGTCCCTAGGCTTTTTTGCACAAGGCTAGTACTCTGCCACTTTGAGCCACAGCACGAATTCTGGTTTTCTATTGGTTAACTGGAGATAAGAGTCTCACAGACTTTCTTTCCTAGGCTGGCTTTGAACTGCTATCTTCAGATCTCAGCCTCCCCAGTAGCTAGGATTACAGGCGTGAGTCACCAGCACCTTGACCATCTAGCCAATTTTTTTTTTTTGGTCCGGTTGTTGGGCCTGAACTCTGGGCCTGGGCGCTGTCGCTCAGCTCTTCAGCTCAAGGCTAGCGCTCTACCATTTGAGCCACAGCGCCACTTCCGGCTTATTTTTCTTTTTGCTTATGTGGTGCTGAGGAATTGAACCCGGGGCCTCATGCATGCAAGGCAAGCACTCTACCACTGAGCCACTTTCCCAGCCCCATCTAGCCAATTTTTGATGGGCTCATATCATTCATGTACCACACATTGAATTAAGCCTGTTAAAAATGTAAAATAATTTTTTAAAAAGCTTTTTTGGTAGACATACTTCTGAGCTGTCCTGCCCACGCCCCCAAGTATTTTGCAGATATTTAGTGTCTACTGGATTAATGGATCAATGCTTGTAAATAATCTAGCCACAAGAGAGTATAAACCTTCTAGGGCTAGAGGTGTAGTTGAAGTGGTAGTCTTGCTTCGACAGTAAAAGGTCCTGAGTTCAAACCCTAGTATTCAAAGCAAAATTCTTCTATTAGCACTGTTCAAAAGAAAGGACAAAAAACAAAACTTTTTTTATGAGGGAAATGGTCTACTACATTTGCACCATCCATGGATTTGTTGAATGTTTGAAATTTGACTAGTGCGACTGAAAAAAAAATTACATTTTGTGAAGTGTTAATTAACAATTTTAATTTAAATTGCTACATGTAGCTAGAGACTACTACATTGTACACCTTTGCCTTGGGTGGTTCTGCCGTTTAAAGGGTCAGAGCCTTGCATTGGGAACAGGTAGATTTCAATTCCTCGTCTAATAATGCAGACTGCTATTAAAGGTTATTAAATATACAAATACCTATCTGTTTAATACCACTGGCAGTAATAAATATCTGTGCACAGTAGCAAGCCATACATAGTTAGCACCTAAGTCACAAGATAGTAATGAACTTCACAGATTGGCTCATTCTGAGACCCCAGCTCCACACTGGGAAAAGGTTCAAGAGCCCAGGCTCCACCCCTTCCTGGGCGCGCTGGCGGCAATCCGTGTTCCCGAACTGCATCATGGGTCTTGTAGTTCAACGTGACATGACGTCACTACCGGCGCCGGGTAAGTGGATCTATCGGTTGACTTCCGGTATCGCCTTATTTCTGGGGATTGTAGTCTGTCTAAGTTTCGTGGACTTTGGCTCTCTAGACCTGGGAACTACAGTTCCCGGCGTGCCGTGAGATGTATCCGGCAGTTGGTAGTGACCTGAGCTGTTGCCTCAGCCGCTGTGAAGCGTGTGCTCTCCAGTCTTGGAGGCCTGGCTGTCCCTAGAGGAGGGGCAGAGTTCGTACCACTCCTTGAGCGGGGGGGGAATTGCCGGGGTCACTGTCGAGGACTTCAGGTTCTGCCGGGCGGCGCCATGGCGGTGAGTTTGGGCGGGAAAAGTGTCTTCTGGCCGGGCTTTGGAACTTGGCTGGCGCGTCCCCCGTGGCTGTCCGTGTGCTAGCCGTCTCTCCGTCCGCGAGGCCGGCCCGTCCCGCCGCACGGGTTGGGGCGGGGTGGTGGGTGTCCTGGGGAAGCTGCCTTGCTTGCTGACGAGCCAGGAAGCGGGTGTCTTGTCTTTTCCTGTTGGCTTTACCCACTTCTTGAATGAACTTGGTGGGGTTTCTCTGCGGTTTGGAAAGATGGAGCGAAGCAGGTGACGCGGATTGCCCCTGCCAGCAAAAAAAAAAAAAAAAAAAAAGGAGCGCCTTCCTGTCAGACAGACAGGGATTTCCCATTTCCAGAAAGATGCACGCCTGTGCGTGGCCCGGTGTGGACGTGCACCGTGTCGGATCGGGGTGCGGGAACGCACGGACAGACACCACGCAATGCTAGCAATACAGGAAAGACGTTTACTGTCTATTTTAGTGATTCTATCCTGGGGTGATTTTTGACCCCCCCCAAGGGATCTGTGTTCATGTTTCGAGATTTTTTTTTTTTTTTTGGTAGTTAATCTCACGGACTTTCCTACTGAAGCTGGCTTTGAACCCGACATCCCCATATCTCAGCCTTCTGAATAGCTAGGTTACAGGCATGAGCCTACCCATGTTGGCCTTGGAGATAGTTTTGATTTATCACTATTGTTATGTTATTAGTATCTAGTGGGTGGAAGCTGGGCAGTCTCTGATAACAAATTATTTGGCACAAATGTTAGTAGTGGTAGAATTTAGGAATATGTTACTATTATATGTTTTTTTTTCTTTTGACCTTAAAATTCATTGTTTTCTTTTCTTTTTGAGACCAAAGCTCAAACTTGGTACCTGACGCTTTTGCTCTTTGGCTAGCACTGTACCAACTGAGCCACATATCCAACCCCCATTATTATTATTATTATTATTATTATTTGTGGGTCGTGTAGCCTGAATTCTGGGCCTGGGCACTGTCCCTCAGCTCTTCAGCTCAAGGCTAGTGCTATACCACTTAAGCCACAGCACCACTTGCGGCTTTTTCTGCTTATGCGGTGCTGAGGCATGGAACCCAGGGCCTCATGCATGCAAGGCAAGAACTCTACCACTGAGGCTCCTTCCCAGCCTTCCCTCCAACCCCCCATTATTTTTTTTTAACTTTTTTTTTTTTTTGGTGCCTGTACTGAGTCTTGAATTCAAAACCTTGTGTTCTAGGCTTTTTTCTTCAGATCTGGCCTTCTACCACTTGAGCTTCACTTCCACTTCTGACATTTTGTTGATTAATTGGAAATAAGTCTATAGATTTGTGTGTCCAGGGGGGCTTCAAGCCTAGTATGTCAGGTCTCAGCTTCCTGAGATTTCAGTAGCCCCTAAAGTTGATTATTAGAATTGTATAGGGTGAAGCCGGCGCTGGTGGCTCACGCCTGTAATCCTAGCTACTCAGGAGGCTGAGATCTGAGGATTGCGGTTCAAAGCCAGCCCGGGCAGGAGAGACCATGAGACTCCTATCTCCAATAAACCACCACAAAACCGGAAGTGGCGCTGTAGCTCAAGTGGTAGAGCGCTCGCCTAGAGCTGAGGGACAGCGCCCAGGCCCAGAGTTCAAGCCCCACGACCAACCAAAAAAAAAAAAAAGAATTGTATAGGGTGTAATAAGAGCCAGTACTTGATTCTACTCAAAACCACTTTGCCACAACCCAGTAGCATAGTTCCAGTCCAATTGAATTTTCCTGGAAACCTGGAAGAGTGAGTGTACTTAACTGTGCTTCTGTTGCTGAAGAAGAAATAGCATAGTTAGTTTTATGTTAAAATAGCAATTCTTGTATATTGAAAGTAGGGTTTAATATATACTAAAGTTGTTTTGAGGTTTAAATGAAGGTGGTTTGTAGCAGGAATGAAAAGGATAAACTTGCTGGAGCTTGGGAAAGGAAATACTTTATGTAACAACTGTTTCATGGAAACTGTTTAAATTTCTTAGCGCTGTGATTGAAATATATAATCCATTTCCTAGTCCTTGTTACTTCTTTATGGCTACAGGTATAAAAGGCTAGTAATGTGCTTTTTGCTGTTTCTCGTTTAAAAATCTTTAAATATTTATATATTTATCAAGGGCCTCATATAAAGGGCATTGAAGATGGAATGAGAAAAAGGCAGGTTTTCCACGTGAACAAACTTATATTGTGTTGGTGGAACCATTGACAACACTGTGATTAGTGCTATTAGAGGAGAAATACTGATAGTAGGAACAAATTAAGAAGGTTATTTTGGACTTTTGAGGAGTCAAAACAGATAATTAGCTAAGACCCAATGGCTGAGATAGACAGGCAAATAAATTGGCAGGGTTTGAGGGCAGATTAAATAGCTTGAACAGTGTGTTAGAGGAGGGAGAGGAAACATGGAATATTGGGGTGTGTGGCACATTTGGCAAAATGCAGATGGTTGAATAGGCCTGGAGTGGCAGTGGGAGAAGGATTGCATAGGATAGGGGATAGGATAGGATAGGTGGATAGGAAAGGGAAGTGACCTGGCAGAGATGAGACAAAAAGGACTTTGAATGTCAGGTTTATGAGTACAGATTTTATTCAAGGAACAGTTGGTATCTTTTTTTTTTTTTTTTTTAAATGGGACTTGGGGCTTGAACTAAGGTCCAGGGAGCTGTCACTAAGTCTCTTTGTGTTCAAGACTGACACTGTGCCAAATGAGCCACAGTGCCGCTTCCGGCTTCTTTTGAGTAGTTTATTGGAGCTAAGAGTCTCACAGACTTTCCTGCCAGGGCTGGCTTTGAACAGCAATCCTCAGATCTCAGCCTCCTGAGTAGCTAGGATTACAGACGTGAACCACCAGCACCTGGATAGTTGCCATCTTTTGAAGGAGGATCATGTAATAAGATTTGAGGTTTGGTTTGATTTCTACAAATAGCAGTTATGACCTGGTAAGGATTTATAAAGAGAAAATAATTGTTGCTTATTTGCCTTTCCCATGTGCGGGTGTGTGCACGTGCGTGCGTGTTTGTATGTGTGTGTGTGTGTGTGTGTGTGTGTGTGTGTACTGGTACTAGGACTTGAACTTATGATCTGGGTGATGTCCTTGAACATTTTTGCTCTAGGCTATGATGCTCTACCACTCGAGCCACAGCTATACTTTCTGTTTTTTTGTTTTTTTGGATGGTAATTAATTGGAGGTAAGTCTCCTCAGTAGCTAAGATTAGAGGCATGGGCCTTAGGCTTGATCTGCCTTAGCCTCTTAAGTGTTGGGATTATGGCAGTGTGCTACCAATGAGTGGTCAGATGGTCCAATTCTATTCCTTGCCTTTCTTTCTTTCTTTCCTTCTTTCTTTCTTTCTTTCTCTTTCTTTCTGTCTCTGTCTCTCTCTCTGTCTCTCTCTCTGTCTCTCTTCCTCCTCCTCCTCTTCCTCCTCTTTTTCTTTGTGGTAGCACACCAGCCTTGAGCACAAAAGCTCAGGGACAGCACTAGGCCCTGCATTCAAGTCTCACGACCAAAAAAAAAAAAAATCATAAAAATTACATACTAATTGGATGTCATATGAGGTATATGTTGTGATCAGATTAAACATATCTATGTCCATAGATACTTACCACTACTTTATAGTGAAACTGTTCAAAATCCTGTCTTCTAGCAATAATACACAATTGTTTTTTGTAGTGTCCTACTATGTTTTTTTTTTCTTTTCTGTTTGTGTGGTACTGAGGAATCAAAACCAGGGCCTCATGTATGCTAGGCAAGCACTCTACCACTAAGCCTTAGAACTTATTTCAAATCCTGTTCATCTGCAGAGACTAACCCTGACCCTCCCCCTCACTGTCCTCCCTGGCCTCTGGTAGCCACCATTGCTCTCAGCTCCTCTTAACCTTCATAATCAACCCTCAGTCTTGCTCATTTACATTTCAAATTAACCATGGAAAAATTGTCAGTAGCTCAGTTCTACATGAATCCAGTTTATTATTTCTTCCTCCTCATCTCCTTCTCTTCCTCCTCCTCCTCCTCCTCCTTTTTTTTTTTGCCAGTCCTGGTGCTTGAACTCAGGGCCTGGGCACTGTCCCTTCGTCTCTGTCAAGGCTAGTGCTCTACCACTTGAACCACAGCTCCACTTACAGCCTTTTCTGTTTATGTGCTACTGAGAAATTGAACTCAGGGCTTCATGAATGCTAAGCAAGCACTCTTAACACTAAGCCACATTCCCAGTCCTCTATTTTTTTTTTTTTTTGGGTCCGGTCGTGGGGCCTGAACTCTGGGCCTGGGCGCTGTCCCTCAGCTCTTCAGCTCAAGGCTAGCACTCTACCACTAGAGCCACAGCACCACTTCCGTCTTTTTTCTTTTTGCTAATGTGGTGCTGAGGAATCGAACCCAGGGCCTCATGCATGCAAGGCAAGCGCTCTACCACTGAGCCACCTTCCCAGCCCCCTCTATTTTTTTTTTTTTTTAATTTTATTTTAAAGCAAGCCTGTGGAAGTATAGAGTCAATTAGTCTATCCTTTTTGTGTCCAATAGGAAAGAAAAGGAACAGCCAAAGTAGACTTTCTGAAGAAGATTGAGAAAGAAATACAACAGAAATGGGATACCGAGAAAGTGTTTGAGACCAATGCGTCTGATTTGGAGGGACAGACCAGGTGAGTAATTGCGAAGTAAGTTCAGAAAGTGTGTGTAATGTTCAAGACAGGCTATACTCACCTTAAATGGGCTGGTTAGGATCCTTTTGCTTTACCCAGATAGAAATCATGGGTAGGTGAAGAGAAGCTGCCCCGGTTATTCTTGGTACTTGTGTATGTGCAGGCATGGAGGAGATGACAGTGGGTAGCAGCAGTCAGCCCTGGGTCTTTGTCAGCTAGGATAGTCTCATGAGATTTGGGCTTTGAGGGTCAGGCCCTGACAGTTAAGGGAGGAACACAGGGTTCAGGGCCCTAAAAGTGTTAAGCTCCAGCAGTGGGCAGGGCCTCTCTACCAGTCGGGGCTCTAAGCCACAGGTCCTGTGGGGAAGTCTCTGTTAATTGGAGTCCTGAGTGTCACAGATCTCCATTGCCAGCCAATATTCTCTGCTGCTGCAGGCTATTGCTGGCTACTACTAGCTGATTCCTTTCTCCACCACTCTATCACTTTTTCCCAGGCTGCTTAGCTTGCCAACTTGTCAGCTCCCCTTCTGTCATCAAAGCTTCCTCCCTGCCATTTCTCTTTTTTTTTTTTTTTTTGCTTTGTGTAACCAGCTCCGCAGCGGTGGGTAAAACTACTTGACTGGATGTTGATCCTCCTCCTATTGATACTTTTTGCATAGCTGAGATAGTTGTACTGTTGTACCTTAATGTCCAACTTTTTATTGATTGAGATGGGGTTTCATTGATTTTTTTTTGTTTTTTTGTTTTTTGCCTGGGCTGGCTTCAGACCATGATTTTCCCAATCTCTCTGTTCTGAGTAGTTGGGGTTACAGGTGTGAGCCTTCACACTGGCTTTTTTTTTTTTTTTTTTTGTAGTGCTGAGATTTGAACTCAGGCTTTTAGATAAGTGCTCTACTTTGGACCTATACCTCCAGCCCTGTTTTGCACTGGTTATTTTTGAGGTAGTGTCTTGCTTCCTACCCTGGAGTGTACCTGGACTGCACTCCTCTTACTTATGCTTCCCGTGAAGTTAGGATGACAGGCCCAGGTCAAGAAGGGGTCTCATGGACTTTTTGCTTAGACTGTCATCAAACTGATCCTCTTTATCTCAGCTTCTCAAGTAGATGGGGCTATGGGCTTGAGTCACTAACACATCCTCCCCCCCCCCCCTTTTTTTTTTTAACTAGTCCTGGGGCTTCAACTCAGGGCCTGAGCTCTGCTCAAGTATAGCACTTTAGCACTTGAACTACAGCACCACTTCCAGCTTTTTCCATTTATGTGGTACTGAGGAGTCAAACCCAGGGCTTCATGTATGCTAGGCAAGCACTCTACCACTAAGCCACATTCCCAGCCCCTCTTCCTCCCCTCCCTCCTTTTTTTGGTCAGTTATGGGGCTTGAACTATGGTCCTGAGCGCTATTCCTCAGCTCTAGCTCAAGGCAAGTGCTCTACCACTTAAGCCACAATGCCACATTCGGTCTTCTGGTGGTTTATTGGAGATAAGAATTTCACGGCCTTCCCTGCCCAGGCTGGCTTTGAACTGAGATCCTCAGATTTCAGCTTCCTAAGTTAGCTAGGATTACAGGTGTGAGCCACTGGTGCCCAGCTCCCCCCCTACCTCCCTTATTTGAAGCTTCTGTTTGGTCTAGAATTTTGGTCAGCATTAAGGTAATTTAATAAAAATGAACTGAAAAAGCTGCTTTGTTCAGTGAAGACCAGTGAACTGTGCTAATATACTAAGATACTGCGGAAACTTAGTAACATAATGTTTAGTGAAGAAAACAAATTTTGTCTTTATAAAACATACCATGGCTGGGTGCCGGTGGCACACACCTGTAATCCTAGCTACTCAGGAGGCTGAGATCTGAGGATCATAGTTCAAAGCCAGCCTGGGCAGTAAAAGTCCATGAGACTCTTATCTCCAATAAACCACCAGAAAACCGAAAGTGGCACTGGCTCCAGTGGTAGAGTGCTAGCCTTGAACTGAAGAGCTGACAGACAGTGCCCAGGTCCATGACTGACCAAAAAAAAAACAACCAAACCGGGCGCTGGTGGCTCATGCCTGTAATCCTAGCTATGCAGGAGGCTGAGATCTGAGGATCGTTGTTCAAAGCCAGCCTGGGCAGGAAATCCATGAGACTCATATCTCCAATAAACCACTAGAAAACCGGAAGTGGCGCTGAGGCTCAAGCAGTAGATCACTCGCCTTGAGCTGAAGAGCTCAGAGATAGCACCCCTTCCCAGAGTTCAAGCCCCACAACCGGCCAAAAAAAAAAACAAAACAAAAAACCATACCATGTTTTGGGTAATATTCACAAATAAGCGAGATTAAGTGGTAGACTGCTGAAGGGCATAGACATATTTACAAACTGTCCAAAAGGAAGGGAATGACAAAGGCATGTGTTAGTGTATTGGTTATCCTTAGTGGGGGACCGAAGAGGGAGGAAATGACACATGTGTAGCTTTGGTGACTTCATGATGCATTTCTAAGTGTTCACTGTATTGTGCTGTATAACATGCAGGTATATTTCATTAGAAAACAGACTATAGTGGGGCACCAGTGGCCAATGCCTATAATCCTAGCTATTCAAGAGGCTGACATCCAGAGGACTGTGGTTCAGAGCCAACCTGAATCAAAAAGTCTGTGAGACTCCCATTTTCAATTAACTAGCAAATTACCAGACTGTAGTCATGGCTCAAGAAGTAGATTCCTGTTTGTGAGGAAGCAAGCCCAGGAAGGCTGGCTTCAAACCAGCCTCAGATCTTTTTTTTTTTTTTTTTTTTTTGGGTCCGGTCGTGAGGCCTGAACTCTGGGTCTGGGCGCTGTCCCTCAGCTCTTCAGCTCAAGGCTAGTGCTCTACCACTTGAGCCATAGCGCCACTTCCGGCTTTTTTCTTTTTGCTTATGTGGTGCTGGGGAATCGAACCCAGGGCCTCATGCATGCAAGGCAAGTGCTCTACCACTGAGCCACCTTCCTAGCCCCAGCCTCAGATCTTATCCTCTTGTGTAGCTAGGAATATAGGTGTGAGCCACCGGCACCCAGTTGGATGTTTATTTCTTAATATTGATCTTTACATGTATAATTTTTTTCTAAGTCAAAGCTAAGTTGCAGTTTTTACAGAGATTTTAATTTCTAGATTTTTAAAATTTATTTTTAAATATCATCTACATAGCTAAAATTTAAGTAACGTATCAAGTACTGTCTGCAGCCTCTCCCTTCCCTCATTGTAAAAGAAATTTATCATTTTCTTGCTTACTCTTCCTTCTCACGTTTGTTTTGCAGCAAGGGCAAGTACTTTGTAACCTTTCCATTTCCGTATATGAATGGTCGTCTTCATTTGGGTCACACATTTTCTTTATCCAAGTGTGAGGTAAAGTTTTTTTTTTCTGTATTTAATAGAGTGGGATGTTGGATTTTTAGTAAATACTGTTTTGAAGAAAATAGTATATGTAGAATTTCTTCATGTAATAATACTTAGAATTCCTTAATTTTTATATTTTCTTAAGTTATTTTTGTATTTAATGTTCTTGTGAATATATAGTTGTGCAGGGTTCTGGTCATGTTTGCATATTAAAAATTCCAAAGTTGGTAAAAAATGTAACAATAAAACAGCCTGCCTTTGTAATGAATGTAAAATCTAGTTGGTATTCTAAAGGAAGATGTGAAAGAAGAAAACTTAAATTCTTTGTATAAATTAGCATTTGGTGATCATCCCCCATTTACATTTGCAATTTAAAGGTACCTTTTGTTTCTGTAGTTTGCAGTAGGGTACCAGAGATTAAAAGGAAAACGCTGTCTGTTTCCCTTTGGCTTACACTGTACTGGGATGCCGATTAAGGTAAGACTGCTGGTAGGATTGTTTTGTACCCTTCTTAGCTTAGAATGAATAGTAATACTCAATTCAAGTTTTTGAAATAAGTTTTTCATATACTGCCATATTAAAGCATTTTTTGAAATTAATTGAATTTATGAGAGTGAAGATTACTTAAAAAAGTTTGAAATAATTACACAAAAGGCACGCATTATAGTGTATATCTGTAATCTCATCTCTGGAGGCTTGGGCAGGCGGATAGCCATTCACCCCCACTCTGCCCTACGTAGTAAGTTCCCTGTCAGCCTGGGAAATGCTGTTTCAAAGAGACAGAAAAGAAAAACAAAGTCCCAAATACTTCAGTGTGTATTTCTTGAGAACATGGACATTCATTATAGTCACACCGCCTCCTTTTAATTTAACTTTGATACACTATCATCTTTAATCTGTAGTCAAATTTTAGTCGTGCCAAGATCTTGTTTTTCTTTTTTTCTTTTTGTAGATGACACATTCTCTTTAATATCTTAGTTTTTTTGTCACGATGTTGATGTTACTGCAACAAAAAGACAACATAGATGAGTTGTAAATCTTTCACTGTGTCATGTCAAAAAGCATATAATGAATGGCAGTTGTCTCAGTTTACTAATACCTAGCAACATGTTATAGATTTTGTTTGTTTGCTTGTTTTTTGATAGTTTTGGGGTTTGAACTCAAGGACTTTTGCTGTCTAGGAAAGCACTGTACCACTTGAGCCACTCCTCCAGTCCTTTTGCTTCAAGTAATTTCCAAATAAGTTCTCTCACTTTTTGCCTGGGCCAGTCTCAGACCATGTTTCTTCTACCTACGCCTCATGGCTGGCTGGGATTACAAGTGTATGCTATCGTATCAGCTTAGTTATTGAAGTGGGTTCATACTATTTGCCTAGTTTGGCCTAAAACCACTGAGCGTATTCTGATCTCTACCTCGTGAGTAGCTGGGATCATGTAGTAGGAATCACTGTGCTTACTTATCCTTATCAAAGACATTGCATTTGATAGAATTTTGTGCTTCTGCTGCCACACATATTGTATGCTACATTGAGTACTCTGTGTTTTGAACAAATGGTGGCTGAATCAATGAACTAAAATACTAATTTGTAAATTAGTGAATTTTGACGTGCAAGATGTGTATGTATTGTTTTCTATAATATTCTACCTATATCTAGATATTGTAGAAATTTCATTCTACTTAGCCTTAGAAATAAAAAACTCAAATTATGTCCTTGAATTTTGGACTTCACTCTCTCCAATGTTATAGGCATGTGCTGATAAGTTGAAAAGAGAAATAGAGCTGTATGGTTGCCCCCCTGATTTCCCAGATGAAGAAGAAGAAGAGGAAGAGATGAGTGTTAAAACAGATGATATCATAATTAAAGATAAAGCAAAAGGAAAAAAGGTTTGGTGGTTGTTGATATTTATGTTGGCTGATTTATATGTGTATTTCCAATATTATCAAAGTAACTGGCACATAAAATGGATTTGGTAATTTAAAATAAGTGTTGCATCCATATGTTAGCTTTCTTCTATCTTGTTGATTTTTCTTTTTTCTTTCATGTGAGGCAGTCTTAGGTTTAAAGAGGAGTTGCAAGATAGTATAGAGTTCCCTTAAAATCTTTACCCACTTGCCCTAATGTTATTACAGCTTATCTAAGTATACTAAAATCCTCAAAACTAAGGAATCAGCATTACCACAGTATTATTTACTAAACTGCAGACTGCATTTGGATTCTCACTTAAGACCTCAATCTTGATCATTTTGGTAGGTGGTGTATACCAGGCCTTTCTACTGTTAGGATTTCATTTTTGCTATTTGTAATTGATACATACTTTGATAGATATTTTGAGGCTATGGAAATAATACCTTGTTTCTTTTTAATGTTTGCTCACAACCATTATCTATACTGTTATAATGGTGATTTTCAATTTTATTCTTTCTGTGTTTACTATCTAGAATTCTGAAAGAAAAAGTGTCTTTTTTCCCTTTGTTTTTCCTTCCTTCCTTCCTTCCTTCCTTCCTTGCTTGCTTGCTTTCTTTCTTGCTTTCCTGCCTTCCTTCCATCCTTTTTTCTTCCTCTCTATTTCCTTCCCTCCCTTCCTCCCTTTTCTTTTCTTTCTTCCCTCCTTCCTTTTTTCCTTTCTTTGTTTCCTCCTTTTCTTCTTTCTCTCTTTTCCTCCCCCCCCCCCCCCCCGTTTCTTTCTTTAGAAATAAGTTCCTTTTTATTATTGTTAAATAATTATACAAAGGAATTTCAATTCAGCATGTCAGTTTATGGGCATATTCATTTTCTTTTTTGTTGGTTGTGGGGCTTGAACTCTAGGCTTGAGTGCAGTCCTTCAACTCTTCAGCTTAAGATGATTGCGCTATCACTTGAGCCACAGAGCCACTTCCAGTTTTCTGGTGGTTAACTGGAGATAAGAGGCTCATGGACTTTCCTGCCTGGGCTGGCTTTGAACCACAATCCTCATATCTCAGTCTTCTGAGTAGCTTGGATTACAGGTTGAGGCACCGTTGCCCAGCAGCATATGCATCTTGAACAATGTCACCTTTACCATTGTTCTCTACCATTTGTCCCAACTCCACCCATCCCTTCAGGTTACTTGATTCCACTTTCACATATGTACATTGACTATTACTGTTCACTCCCACTCTTTTCTCCATTCATCTACCCTACTGTTCTTCATCTCCTCCAACCTCTGACAACATATATTCTAGCTTCCTGGTATTTCATTTTATTAAACTCTTAAGTTAGCTGTTCAAGAGAATCTTTCCCTGTGTATACCACATTATCTGCATATGACCCTGTATATATTTTCATATGTTTATAGTTTAGGTACAGCTTCCACATAAGTGAGAAAATATGTGCCCTTTGTCTCTCTGAGACTGACTTAATTCACTTAACAAAATTTTATGAAATAAACTTCTAATGTCTTCTCTGCCTATGATTTATTTCATTTGAGCTTCAGCGTCTTAAAAAAAATACCTTTGGCTCAGTGGTAGAGTGCTTGCCTCACATGCATGAGGCCCTGGGTTCGATTCCTCAGCACCACATAAACAGAAAAAGCTGGAACTGGTGCTGTGGCTTAAGTGGTAGAGCATGCACCTTGAGCTGAAGAGCTGAGGGACAGTGCCCAGGTCCAGAGTTCAAGCCTCACAACTGACAACCCCCCCAGCAAAAAACCCTTTAAGTAGTTGTACAAAGCAATTAAATAGCAGTTACAATACATCTTGACAAATGCTTTGATAGATAATTTGAGACTGTGGAAAGTACCTTGTTTGTTTTCTACTGGTCATTTTCAATTTTTCTTATTCTTCCTATGTTTATTATCTAGAATTCTGAAAGATGAGGTATCCTTTTTTCCCCTATTTGCTTTTTCAATTTTTTTTGTATTAGTATGGAGTTATGTATATTTAATTTTTTTTTTTATTTTGCTGGTTCTGGGGCTTGAACTCAGGGCTGTCCCTGAGCTTCTTTGGCGCAAGGCTAGTACTCTACCATTTGAGCCATAGTGCCACTTCCAGCTTTTTCTGTTTATGTGGTAATGAGGAATTGAATCCTAGGCTTCATGCATGCTAGGCAAACACTCTGCCACTAAGCCACATTCCCAGCTGGATATTTAATTCTGTAGATAGGGTTACTTATTGTTATGTTTGTTATTCCTCAGATTCTAACGTTGGCCACTGGGAGTTCTTTGAGTTTGGTACCAAGTCCATTTGACATTCCTTTATTTTTTCTTTTCGTTATAAAACACTTTTTAAATTTCTAGGATCACAAAGTACTCTAAGCTTGTGTTCCCTGTTTCAGCTTTGGAATCAAACAGGGCTTAAAAGCCCCTTGGCTTCTCCTGGAAACCCTTATTTATTTTATTGAAGAATTGTTTTCAGAAACTATGGTGTAAAGGCCAGGTGGGCTCATAACTATGACTACTTTCAGACCTCTCAGTGGGAAAGAGATATGCTTACCAGCCCACCACTGTCCACATACCTAATTTATATCTATCTACACGTGAAAACAAATGAGTTCATCCTCATTTTTTTATCAACATGAATAATTCTAGCATTCTCCCTTTGTTTATATGAGTTACATTATAACAGGAACCTTGCTCTTACTATTTATTGTATATTTATTTGTTCATTTCTACACTAGTAGTAAAGTTGCTTTAAAATTCTTAATTTATACTTGAGAGAAAACAGTTTTACCAACTAAAATAAATCAGGTTTTGTATATAATTCTTTTTGTCTTTAGAGTCTAGTCAACATACTTTCCCAAAATGTTCCAGAATTCCTTTAATCAACACCTTTCTTTCCCAATCGTTTAGTGTGGTTAACTCATGTATTTATAATATAATTAGAAACATTATGGCCTGCATTCCATCCTATATTTTCTCCATACCTTGGTTGAATTATATACAGTAAAATTTTACTTTGTGCATAGTTCTATGGGTCTGAGAAATAGTAGAGTTATGTTCAAAATTTCCTGTGTTTCCTTTTAATTATTATCTCTAACTGTGACATTCTGATATTGGTAAATATTAGAAAAGAAGTGAGCTCTTGCTAGTAGTTTTTAGCTAAAAAAGAACTGATATGTGTGGTACGAAAAGGAATAAATTGAAATTTGGGTCTGAAGTCTCATTTCACTATTGGTAATTCTTTGTGGCTCCATCTATTTAGTTACCATTAGAAAATCCACTTTTTATTAGCTTACCATAGTTATGCAGATTTCCACACATTTACAATATATTCCAATCAATCACTGTCCCTTTCCTACTTCTTTTCCCAAAACAATCCCAGCAGGTTTCCTTGTTCCAGTTTTGTAGACAGAATAGTACAAGTGACTCCAGTGTTCTCATGTATCACCAGCGGTTTGAGAATTAAAAATATTACATTCAGATTATTCACTTAAAATTGCTGTGGTCCTTGAATGCTAAGTATTTGTTTGTTATTCTTTAATGGAGTTTTTTTTTTGTCTGTTTTTAGAGCAAAGCTGCTGCTAAAGCTGGGTCTTCTAAGTATCAGTGGGACATAATGAAATCTCTTGGACTGTCTGATGAAGAGATTGTAAAATTTTCTGATGCAGAACATTGGCTGGAATATTTCCCACCACTGGCTATTCAAGACCTGAAAAGAATAGGTTTAAAGGTATACCATCACCTCATAGTTACAGAAAATGTGGAGAAAGTTTAAAAAGAAAGTTTAAAAAGATATGGACCAACTCTTAAATTTAGAATAATATATTGTATCTGGATGCTACTGGAGAATTGTACTGTTAGTGTCAGAGTAGCCCCTAGTGGGACTATGGCAGCAGAGAGTATTTTAATATTTGTCTCACTGAAGTGTATATTGATATACTGACTGTTAGTAGAAAAGAGTCTTATTCAAAGAGTAAGAAGAAGTTGAAGGTTAATTTAAATATTTAGGAGTATGCAAAGTTATTGTTTAATTCATTTTTTTTTTTGCTAGTCCTGGGGACTGAACTCAGGGGCCTGGGTACTGTCTCTGAGCTTCTTTTGTTCCAGGCTATCACTCTACTGGTTGAGCCAGTTGAGCCACAGCACCACTTCTGGCTTTTTCTGTTTATGTGGTACTAAGGAATTGAACCCAGGGCTTTGTGCATGCAAGGCAAGCACTCTACCTCTAAGCCACATTCCCAGTTCTGTTTAGTTCTTTTTCATTTATTATAATTCCTATTTATTTAATTTTATTGTAAAGATGTTGTACAGAGGGGTTACAGTTACATGAGTAAGGCAATGAGTATATTTCTTGTTGAGCATTTTTACCCCTCTTGTTGCTCCCCCACTATACTTATTACTAAGTAAATGCTTAGAAACATTAAAAAACACCAACTCTCAGCTTTCAATTTATTTTTAACAGTTAAAGTTATTCTAATTTGGGGACTCAAGAAGAGTAAAGCTGAGAGCTGGTGGCTCATACCTGTGATCCTAGCTACTTTGGAGGCTGAGATCTGAGGATCAGGATTCAAAAGCAGCCCGGGCAGAAAAGTCCCTGTGAGACTTTTTTTTAAATATTTTTTTTGTTGTAAAAATACTGTGCAGAGGAGTTACATGAGCAAGGTAATGAGTACATTTCCTATCAAGCATTGTTACCTCCTTTGTTTATCTCCTACCATCCCTTCCCTCCCACCTCCACAACTATATCCCCCCGCACCTAAATTGTAAAGTTTGTTTTTCAACATAGTGTCTGTACATCTCATTGTTACAATGGGTCAACCTGTATCCCTATTTAAACATTTTGTTTTTTCACTTCCCCTCCCCAAATTAGAGAAGTGTTACAAGATGCAGGGCTCTAACATCAAATACAGTGAAACCGGCTTATACAGTGGGGGAGGAACATATAAAGAAACAAAAAAATCTCATGGTACATTATAAATATGTTAGAAACAGTAGCAAGAAAGAAAAAAAAATCACTTGTGTTCCTATCTTGGGGTTCATTTCGCTTAACATCATCTTATCTGGTCATATGTACATAGCTTTTGACCTTTTCTGCTTGTCCTTACACTAGTTATTGCAAATAAGGGAAACCATGGGACCTATGTTTCTTTGGGCCTGGCATACTTCACTTAATATAATTTTTTCCAAGTCTTTCCATTTCTTACAAATGGGACAATGTCATTCTTTCTGATGGAGGCATAGAATTCCACTTTTATCTACCAGAAAACCAGAAGTGAAGCTGTGGCTCAAAGTAGTAGAGTTCTAACCTTGAGCAAAAAAGCTCAGGAACAGGGCTCAGGCCCTAAGGTCAAACTCCATGACTGACAAAGTGTATACACACACACACACAAAACACACACACACAGAGTAAATAATTGATTCATAGGATTTCTTATAAAACTTTTGAATATTAAAAAAAATTGCTATTTCCTTTCTCATTCTGTAGGTAGACTGGCGGCGTTCTTTCATCACCACTGATGTTAATCCTTACTATGATTCATTTGTCAGGTGGCAATTTTTAACACTAAGAGAAAGAAATAAAATTAAATTTGGGAAGCGGTAAGTTTGTTGTCCTTCATTTTAGTAAACTAGTAACTATACCATTCCTTCTTTATAATTCAGTATTCATAGCCTTTCTCTTTTTTTGCTTTTGTTTTTGTTTTTGTTTTGGTGCCAGTTCAGGGGCTTAGACTCAGTGCCTATGGTGCTATCCCTCAGCATTTTTGCTCAAGGCCAGCGCTGTACCACTTGAGTCACAGTTCCATTTCCAGCTTTTTGCTGGCTAGAGATTAGAATCTGACAGACTTTCCTGCCCAGGCTAGCTTTGAACTGGGATCCTCATATTTAAGCCTACTGAGTAGCTAGGATTACAGGAATGTGCCATCTGGCTTTTTTTGTTCTTTTACTTTCTTATCCTTTGTTTTTCCCCACTAGTTTCTCTTTTGTCTTGGTGCCAGGATTGAACCTGTTTCTTGCTTATGCATGCAAGTACTCTAGTACTGACTTGCATCCCCACTCTCTTGTTAATGTCTTAATTTCTCTGAGTATCTGTGCATAGTGGAGCATGCCTGTATTTCTAGCTACTTGGTAGGCAGGGGTGGGAAGATTGAGGACTGAGATGGGACTGGGTAAAACTCAAGACCCTATTTGAAAACTAAACGCAGGAGGTGGGGGGAGTATAATTGTGGAGATGGGAGGGCTGGGATGGTAAGGGAAAAACAAAGGAGGAGGTAACAATGCTTGATAAGAAATGTCATTACCTTGCTCATGTAATTGTAACTGCTCTGTACCGTATTTTCACAATAAAAAAAAACTTACTAATAAAAAAAAAAACTAAATGCAGAGGGACTGGGAGTATAGATCAAGATGCACTGTAGTCATAATCTGACTTGTGATATTGAAAGCTTTAAAAAAAATAAAAAATATAAAAAAAGACTGGGAGTATACTTTAAGTGGTAGAGTGCTTTCCTATCAATCTCAAGGCCCCATGTTAAATCCCCAGTACCACCAAAACCAAGTTTTTATTTCTCTGATATGTCTTGTGTTATAATACAGAATGAAATTTGGACAAGCAGAAAATAATCATTGTGTATTTATACTTGTGTTCTCTAAATTGTTAACAAAATTTAGAGATTCTTGCTTGTTTATGTAGCTACTTGCAGCTTACAAATAAAATTATATTTCACCATGTCTTGATTTATGTCACAAAACTAGTATTCATATTTTTTGATGGTATTACTTTTGATGAAGGTAAAACTTCTCATCATCAGTAATGAAGTTGACAGAACTACTCACAAGTATAGAAGTAGATATTTGCTCAGAATTTTCAGTTATAAGACATATGAAGTTAGCAACACTGGCAAATAGACTATAACTTGTATATTATAATAATACTTGTACTTACTGTTTATCTTGTAGGCATACCATTTATTCTCCAAAAGATGGACAGCCTTGCATGGATCATGACAGACAAACTGGAGAGGTGATTATTTGGGCTATACAGTAGTTATTAAAATCTTTGATGTGATCATAGTGTTTCAGATCAGAAACTTAAAAATATAGCTTAGTTGCAGTGCTGATGTGTATAGTACGGTCATGGTACTCTGGTGCGTATGAAAAGGGAGATAATATCATGACAAGGACATGTGCCTTGTGTAGGACCTTGTGTACTTAAGAATAGTATGTGGACTAGCTATATCAACTTGTTACAGGAAAGCGCATTGTTAAGCCTCACCCCTAAACTGCCACATCAGTTTAAGTATCCTGGGGTATGACTCAGGAATTTGTTTTTACAGTGTGATTCATATACATACTAATATTTGAGAAGCATCATTTGGAAAATACAACTCTAAAGAGAAGAATGTGGGGAAAGGTAATAAGATATACATAGCTAACTTTTGAGGTACACAGATTCCATTTATATGTGCTTTAATCATGTGCCTGGTTGTTCATTGCCAGTGTACTGGTAGCCATGCATCATAGTATTTCTTTTTATGTTGTTATAGAACACATTAAGTAACATTCCTGTACTACTCGAATAAAGAAAGCAAGAGTTTTTTTCCTAAAGCCTTGCTTGGCTTATTAAATCACTAAATGCTTGTATCTATCTGAGCTTATATACTCAGTCTTACATATATCTGAATACTACAGATTGGGTAATTTCCAGAATAATGGTTTATTTAGTGATTGGTTCTAGAGAATTGAAGGCCAAAGGAATACCTTAGGTGAAGGCCTTTTTTTTTTTTTTTTTGGTCGGTTGTAAGGCTTGAACTCTGGGCCTGGGTGCTGTCTCTCAGCTCTTCAGCTCAAGGCAGTTGCTCTACCACTTGAGTCACAGCACTACTTCAGGTTTTCTGGTGGTTAATTGGAGATAAGTCTCACAACTTTCCTGTCCGGTCTGGCTTTGAACTGCAATCCTCAGATCTCAGCCTCCTGGGTAGCTAGAATTACAGGCGTGAGCCACTGGCACCCAGCCTTTCTTCTTTAGGGCCTGGGCACTGTCCCTGAACTTCTTTTTGCTCAAGGCTAGCACTCTACCACTAAGCCATATTCTCAGCCTCAAAGGCCTTTTTTTTAGTAGAGATTATTTACAAATTACAGAGGTGGAGCCTGGCAACACATAATACTAGGGCCACACATGAGAGACTGAGGCAAATTGTCTTTTATGATATCCACTCTCATTGCCTTTTATGATAGCCACTCTCACAAGAGTCTGTTGACCTGATAATCCATTAATTCATGAGTGGATTATTCTATTATCAGAGCAGAGTCTTCATGACCTAAATACTTCTTAAAGCTTCCATCTTTTGGTACCTCACAGGGGAGTTTAAATTTCAGTGTGAGTTTTGGTAGGAATATTCAACCCTAGCAAGTTCCCTTTTATTACATATTTTAGTATGTAATAAAATAAAAAGTAAAAAAATTAAAAAAATCAGCCTGGCTTAAAGTTTGTGTTTTTTTTTTTTTAGTTGGTCGGTTGTGGGGTCTGAACTCTGGGCCTGGGGGCTGTCCCTCAGCTCAAGGCTAGCACTCTATCACTTGAGCCACAGCACCACTTCTGGCTTTTTTTCTGTTTATGTGGTGCTGAGGAATCGAACCCAGGGCCTCATGCATGTAAGGCAAGCATTCTACCACTGAACCACCTTCCCAGCCCCAGAAAGTTTTTATATAGGTTGAGCATTCCTAATCTAAAATGTTCCGAAGTTCAAAATGTTCCAGTGAGCCAGGTGCCAGTGGCTCATACCTCTAATCCTAGCTACTCAGGAGGCTAAGATCTGAGAATCTCAGTTCAAAGCCAGCTCTGACAAGAAAATCTGTGAGACTCTTATCACCAATTAACCACCAGAAAAATGAAGTGGCACTGTGGCTCAATTGGTGAAGTACTAGCCTTGAGCTGAAGACCTCAGGGACAGCGCCCAGACCCAGAGTTCAAGCCCCACAACCGACAAAAAAAAAAAAAGTTCTAGTGATGTTTTTTGATTGTTGACCTACCACTCAAAAAGTATGGATTTGGAGACATTGTGAATCTCTCTCCCACCCCTCCTTTCCCTCGTTTCTTCTTTTCCTTGATTTATCTATTTATTTTTTGGTACCAGTCCTAGGACTTGAACTCGGGAAGTTCTGCTTTTTGATTTTTGGACATTGCACTTGCTAAGCAAGCTCTTTTGCCTCTGGGCTATATTTCAGTCTGAACTCAGGGTTTGGGCACTGTCTCTGGGCTTTTTTGTTAAAGGCTAGAGTTCTACCACTTGAGCCACAGCTTCACTTCCAGCTTTTGTGATGCTTAATTGGAGATAAGAGTCTCACAGGCTGGCTTTAAACTGTGATCCTCAGATCTCAGCCTTTTGAGTCACTGATGCCCAGCTTCTCCCTTCCTTTTTTGCTGGGACCAGGCTTGAATTCAGGGCCTCACACTTAGTCATGGCTTAGCAGTCTACCACTTGAGTGGAAAATTATGGACTTTTCAATTTTGTATTAGATATAGCACTCAAAAAATTTTGTAGTTTGGTACATTGTAGATGTTGGTTGTCAGATTTAGCCATGCTTAGCTACTAAAGTTACCACAGATATTCCAAAACAGATCTGAAACATTTCTCCCCAAAGATTTTGGGTAAGAGATACTGACTGAGATGTGGTTCAAGTGGCACACCATATGTCTGGCAAGCATAAGGCCTTGAGTTCAGTCTTCTCCATCTCTCACTCCCACTCCATGGTCAAAAATTACTTAATAAGTACTTTCTTTTTGAACAGTGTCACCCTTTCCCTCATTTTCTCCTAGTTTTTCCCCTTCTGATTCCCCCCTCAAGTTGTATAGTTCATTTCTAACATAATATTTAGTATTACTTCTGAATTAGTTCACTCTTTGTTCCATGGTTTCTATGCCTCTCCCCAATTCAGATAAACTTAAATATGAGACAAAGTGTACAGAAATAAAAAACAGTGACAAAAGGGAAAAAGAACAAGAAAATAAAGGAAAAAAAAGAAAACCTATGTAGTTTTATAGTGAGTGATAGTAGTATCCTAAATTCTAATAATGGCTCATGGAGTTTCAAAGCATTTTTTAAATAAATTAACTTAGGTGTTCCTTAGGACAGTCTTTTGTGTGAGATGTAGCAGTGTTACTTTGCACTTAAGAAAGCAAAGTTTTTAGAGATTATGTCTATTGAGTCAGGCCATTAGTAAGTGAATAGGAAAGCTTAGAATGTATATTATCTGATGCCTGGCTCAGTGTATAATTGTGATAACTGCCCTCCAGGGCTTGTACTAGGGTCCAGCACTGGAGTTCTTTTCGAACTCTCATCTTGGTGAATACCATTTTGATTATGACATTAAGTCCCTCCTTATATACTAGACTTCCGCTTGAATATGGCCAGCACACCAGTGGCAGTCTATTCACTTCTAACAGTGGAAGAACCCATGTCAGATCTCTCACATATGTTGGTGAGTTTAATCCAAGTCTTTTTTCACTTAGATTTTTGTTTTGTTTATTGGTTTAGGGTGTTGGACCTCAGGAATACACTTTAATCAAATTGAAAGTGCTGGAGCCATACCCATCCAAGTTAAGGTAAGGTTACTAAAGAGTTAATGTTTCATCATTTCTGAACAATAAGGTAGTTGTGAAGGAATCTTTTAATTTAAATACTTCCTTTTTCTTTTTAGTGGCCTGAAAGGTAAAAGTATCTTCTTAGTTGCTGCTACTCTTAGACCTGAGACTATGTTTGGACAGACAAACTGTTGGGTTCGTCCTAATCTAAAGTACATTGGATTTGAGACGGTGGATGGTGATATATTCATCTGTACCCAAAGAGCAGCCAGGAATATGTCATACCAAGGCTTTACCAAAGACAATGGAGTGGTGCCTGTTGTTAAAGAGTTAATGGGAGAGGTAAGTTGGGTATTACATTTTATTTTCATGCATACAATTAGAGGAAATTTTCAACAATGAAGCTTGAGAAAAGAACATTTAAAGAAAACTTTTAATTTGAGAGATACATGTAACAAAGTGTATGTTGACTTGTAGTTTGTTGAATTTTCATATATGTATTTGCTTAATTGAACATTACCCAAATCAAGATACATAACTGTGGTTTCCAAAAGTTCTGGAATGTACTAAACTTTCTCCTCCAAAGGGAATCTCTGCTCTGTCTTCACTAATAATTAGTTGCTATATTTGTACTCTTTAAAACATTTTCTGTTTATCCAGGTACTGGTGGCTCACCCCTGTGAACCTAGCTACTTAGGAGGCTGAGATCTGAGGGTCATGGTTCAAAACCAGTTCAGGAAGGAAAATCTTATCTCCAATTAAACACCAAACAGTATGAAGTAGATCTATGGCTCAAATGGTAGACCTCTAGCTTTGAATAAAAAAGGTCAGGAACAGCACCCAGGCTATGACTTTAAAATCAGGAATCAGCACACACATAAAAAACATTTCAGGCTAGGCGTCAGTGGCTCATGCCTATAATCCTAGCTACTCAAGAGCCTGAGATCTGAGGATTAGGGTTCGAAGCCATCCTGGACAGAAAAGTTCCTGTGGGACTCTATCTCTAATTAACCATTCAAAAACTGGAAGTGGCACTGTGGCTCAAAGTAGTAGAGTGCTAGAGAGCTCAGGGACAGTGCCCATCCCTGTGTTCAAGCCCCGTTACCAACAAAAAGGAAAAAAAAAACTTTAAACAGTTTTTTTGTTAGCTTATATTAGTTAGGCAGAGGCAGATTTCATTTTTACATTTCTAAGTATGTACTCTTTTGTGTCTGATGTCTTTTGCCCAATAACTGTGCAGTTGATACATGTTATATATAGGAGAATTTTAAAAAATTGCCGTGTATTCATTTTATATCTCTAAAGTAGCATATTTTAAATTTTATATATCAACTCAGCAAATATTTGGTTGAAAAATATAATCTTCCCCAAGAGATTTAATGATGACATTAGAGTTATGTTCATTTTTTTAAATATTGTTAGCTCTGTTCCTGGTAATTAGTATTAAATGTCAATGAAACAGGATGTGTGGGAGCTATGTGGGAGGAAAGTGAATCGTTTACTTAGAATGAGCAGCTGGATGCTGGTTGTGGACAATCACAAATGTGAGTCCAGTATTGCTGAACCTCCTAAATTTTTTTTTTTTTGCTGGTCCTGGGGCTTGAACTCAAGGCCTGGGTGCTGTCTTTGAGCTTTTGCTCAAGGCTAGCATTCTACCACTTGATCCACACTTCTGGCTTTTTCTGAGTAGTTTATTGGAGATGAGAGTTTCACAGACTTTCCTGTCCAGGCTGGCTTTAAACTGTGATCCTCAGATCTCAGCCTCCTGAGTAACTAAGATTACAGGCCTGAGCCACTGGCATCTAGCTTCCTAAAGTTTCTTTAAGGCACTAAAAATTTTTTTACTTCAATTGACTTTCATAATTATAATTTAAAATTTATATATAATATTCTATATGCTGATGTAGCATATTTTTTACATGATTTTTCTTTCACTAATAGTTTTTGCTAGGATAATCAACTCAGCATTTGGTATATTTCTCAAACAAAAAATAATTTTTTGAGGGGTCCAAGATTTGTGAACATTTTTAAGGTACTTGCTGTGGATTCCTGTGCCATTTTCCAAAGGAGTGCAGTGTTACAAGTGATGTGTTAGCATACTGAATTTATCGTAACATTGTCAGATTTATAATTACTTAAAATTATTTTTAGTTTAGTAGACAATAAAAATAAGGAAGATGTGTGGATGGTACTTATATATCTTTTTGATGGTACTGGGTTTTGAACTTAGGGTCTTAGATTTTCTATGTAAGTTGTCTACCATTTGAGCCATGCCTCCAAACCTGTGTGTTTTTTTTATTTGACAAAACTTGTATATATTTGTAGTGCGCAATATATTTTAAAATATGTATGCATTGTGGACTGGCCAAATCAAGCTAATTAAAAAATTCAGTACCTCACATATGTATCATTTAGTGAAACTAAACATTTCAGTGATTTTGAACTATGTAATATGTTGTTAACTGTAATCACTGTGTTGTGCAATAATAGACCTCATGAGTTTATTCCTATGTATTTTTGATCTAGGATCTTGGGTTTAAGATAATAATATTGTTTAAATTTTAATGATTACAAATACTATTTTCTTTACCTCTTTGGATTTTTTTTTTCTCATGCAGGAAATTCTTGGTGCATCATTATCTGCACCTTTAACATGCTACAAAGTGATCTATGTTCTCCCAATGCTCACTATTAAGGAGGATAAAGGTAGGATTTGTTTATTTCTATGAAAACTTGTGCAATACATTCTGGTTGTATTAGTTAGTTGCACTCTTTCTTTTATAAGGCACTGGTGTGGTCACAAGTGTTCCTTCTGACTCCCCTGATGATTTTGCTGCCTTCAGAGACTTGAAGAAAAAGCAAGCAAGTATCTGAGTTTCTTATTCTTGTTTTGTCTTCACTGTCATTGGTGAGGTACTGTGGAACTTACTATGAAACCTGGTTGAAAGATAAACAATTTTCTTCTATTATCTCACTTGTTTTTAAATGTTTATTATGTTTTCTGTGGTTAGAATTTTGAATTTGTTTTGAAGTCTTTCATTGTCCACTTTTTCATAGTGATAATGTATGCATGTCTATGTGTAATTTTATATTTAGCTTTACAGTTTCATCATCCAGTGTACTTACTGTAAGTTAAATGTTTTAAAGAGTTCTAGGTCCTTTCTTGAGGTATTTAGTAAAATAAATCTGTTCGTATGTAAAGGAAGACAATAGCTTAACAAGTTTTTCATCCATGTCCCAGTGGCTCATGCCTATAATCCTAGCTACTTAGGAGGCTGAGATCTGAGGATTATAGTTTGTAGTCAGATAGAGTAGATGATCTTGAGAGATTCTTATCTCTAGTTAAGAAGCAAAAAGCTGGAACTAGAGGCATAGCTTAAGTTGAGTGAACAGTCATGAGCAAAAGCTGAGTGAGAGTGTAAGGTCCAGAGTTCAAGCCCTGCTACACACACACACACACACACACACACACACACACACACACACACACACACACACACACACACACACGGAACTAGAGGCATAGCTTAAGTTGAGTGAACAGTCATGAGCAAAAGCTGAGTGAGAGTGTAAGGTCCAGAGTTCAAGCCCTGCTACACACACACACACACACACACACACACACACACACACACACACACACACACACACACACACACACACACACACACACACACACACACACACACACACACACACACACACACACACACACACACACACACACACACAGCCAAGTTTGGTGATACCTATATGTAATTCTAGTGCTGGAGATGCTGAAGCAGGACAATCTCCATTTCAAGGCTAGCCTGGTGATACCTATATGTAATTCTAGTGCTGGAGATGCTGAAGCAGGACAATCTCCATTTCAAGGCTAGCCTGGGCTATGTAACAAAATGGTCTCAAAACCCCCCAAAATTGGCAGTTTGCTTCTTTCAGTGATCATACCAGTAAATTATTGAGAAATTGTGTTAACTTGGGAATTTTGTTGTAGGCCTTACGAGCGAAGTATGGAATTAGAGATGACATGGTCCTGCCATTTGAGCCGGTGAGTACATGGGTCATTCCCAGTTTTCATATCTGTGTCAGAGAGGAGGAGAGAAGGAGCTAGCAAATTTTCCTTGGTGCAAAACTTAACTGATGAAAATAAAAGAGGGAATTTGCTTAAGGATTTATTCACTTTAATTGTATATGTGCTGTGGCTGATACCATCAGGGAACCAATGGTAAGTGTTTTCTTTTTTTTTTTTTTTTTTTTGGGTCTGGTCGTGGGGCCTGAACTCTGGGCCTGGGCGCTATCCCTCAGCTCTTCAGCTCAAGGCTAGCACTCTGCCACTTGAGCCACAGCACTACTTCCGGCTTTTTTCTTTTGGCTTATGTGGTGCTGAGGAATCGAACCCAGGGCCTCATGCATGCAAGGCAAGCGCTCTACCTTTGAGCCACCTTCCCAGCCCCTAGTAAGCGTTTTCTTATCACTTTGCACCCTAAAAAACTGTTTGTTCCAATTTTAAATTAGCTTGTTTTCTTAGTATGGCCCATTTCCTGCTTCCTAAAGACAAAAATTTGCTACATTAGTTGTTACTATTTATTTGTAACCCTAGTATTTTTTAACATAGTCCTAGTAATTGTTTTATATTCATATTTTCATGTTAGTCCCTGCAGAGGAAAAGTAATTACTAGTAGAATAACTTTCATGAAGAATTCAGAACATTTAGTAAGGGATATAGTTCAGTGAAAGAATATTTGCCCAACATGAGCAAGGCCATGGGTTTGATTCCCAGCACTGCAAAAAAAAAAAAAAAAAGTTGTTCACATTGCTTTGCTTGTGTTGTGGTAGAGATTGAGATCTGGAGGTGGTGGGGTTGGTATAGAGTTTGGTTCACATTCACATTGTAAATTAGTCCTCTGTGATTACTTAATATGTGCTATTACTGTAAGGATATGCACAACTTGAAATGACTTAATATATATGCTATTTTTCAAAGCTATATATATATACTTTTTCTTTTCTTTTTTGGTATTGGGGATTGAACCCAGTACATTATTCTTGCTAGGCAAGCACTTTGCCACTGAGCTATATATCCTAGCCCCTATATGCTATATTTGTGTCTGTTCATTGAGATTCCTTTTTGGTGCCAGTCATAGGGCTTGAACTCAGGGCCTGAGCACTATCCCTTGGCTCAAGGCTAGTGCTCTACCACTTGAGCCACAGTGTCATGTCCAGCCTTTTCTGTTTATGTGGTACTAAGGAATTGAATCCAGGGCTCCATGCATGCTAGGCAAGCACTCTACCACTAAACCACATTCTCAGCCCCCAAGAATGTTGAGATTGCTGTTCTTTGTAGGTCCCAGTCATTGAAATCCCAGGCTTTGGAAATCTTGCTGCTGTAACTGTTTGTGATGAGTTGAAAATTCAGAGCCAGAATGACCGAGAAAAACTTGCAGAAGCAAAGGAGAAATTATATCTAAAAGGATTTTATGAAGGTGTAAGTGATAATTTTTATTTTTGTATTTCATTTGTTCTATGATTGGTGATTTTGTTGCTTGATGATTTTTAAAAAGATTAAAAATTAAAGTAGTTTCAGTAATATATTGATTTGTGTTAATATTAATTTGAAGTTATTATGAAATCATGTATGTTTTCTTTTCTTTCTTTTTTTTTTTTTGTCGGTCATAGGGTTTGAACTCTGGGCCTGGGCGCTGTCCCTCAGCTCTTCAGCTCAAGGCTAGCACTCTTACCACTTGAGCCACAGAGCCATTTCTGACTTTTCCTGTTTTTGTGGTGCTGAGGAATCGAACCCAGGGCCTCATGCATGCGAGGCAAGCACTCTACCACTGAGCCACCTTCCTAGCCCCTCATGTTTGTTTTCTAAATTTCTAGGTTTTTTTTTTTTTTTTTGGGTGGTCGTGGGGCTTGAACTCTGGGCCTGGGCACTGTCCCTGAGTTGTTCAGCTCAAGGTGAACGTTCTACCACTTGAGCCACAGCACCATTTTTGGCTTTTTGGTGGTTAGTTGGAGATAAGAGTCTCCTGGATTTTCCTGCCCAGGCTGGCTTTGAACCACAATCCTCAGATCTGAGCCTCCTGAGTGGCTAGGATTTATAGGCATGAGCCACTGGTGCCTGGCTCCTTTTTCTTTTAATTAAGTAGTTTATTTTTTGGTTAGGCAACTTCAGTCCGTCTGTTAATTTATTTGTTAATTTAGTGCCTACTAAATGCCAGGTGAACACAGCAAATCTATTCTGAACCTTTCTTTGTTCTCGGTTGTGCCCATTAATGTGGCTTAGGTGGCCATGGAAAGAAGACTGCTAAAACCTAACCAAGAGTTTATCTGCTTGAGGTTCAAATGATGACTTTCAGGGTCTTTTGAAAATTTTTATTTTTCTCATTTTCCTAGATAACCAAGAATAGCCAATTGTTTTATATATCTTGGGTAGTAATGAGCCAACACTTAACATAGCACTGCACAGTGTAACTTATCCACAGAATAATCCTGTGCAGTGGGCACTGTTATTGACATTTTACAAATGAGGAAGTTGAAGCATAAAGAGATTAGTAATTTTTTCAAGGTAATCAAACCATTAGTGGTTTGAAATACAGTTCAAATTAGGTAGCCTAACTCTAGGATATGTTTTCTCTCTTTCTCATTTTCTCTTTCTCTTTCCTGGCAGTACCAAATGCTTGCTTGTCTTGATTGCTTGTTTGGTGCCCTACCACTCAAGTCATGTCTCAAGTTTTTTGGTGTTTTTTTTTTTTTTTTGCTGGTTATTCTGGAGATGAAGTCTCTTGGACTTTTCAGACCATACTGGCTTTGAAAAGTCATTTTGTGATTGTATTTGTACTCCTTTTTTTTGGTTATTGGTTGTGGGACTTGAACTCTGGGCTTGGGCACTGTCCTTGTACTCTTCAGCTCAAGGTCACTGGCTTTACCCTTGAGCCACAGCGCCACTTCTGGTTTTCTGATGGTTTATTGGAGATAAGAGTCTCACGGGCTTTTCTGCCTGGGCTGGCTTTGAACCATGATCCTCAGATCTCAGCCTCCTGAGTAGCTAGGATTACAGGCATGAGCCACCGATGCCTGGCTATAGTAGTATTTGTATTCTTTTTTTTTTTTTTTTTTTGTCGGTCGTGGGGCTTGAACTCTGGGCCTGGGCGCTGTCCCTCAGCTCTTCAGCTCAAGGCGAGCGCTCTACCACTTGAGCTACAGCGCCACTTTCGGTTTTCTGGTGGTTTATTGGAGATAGGAGTCTCACGGTCTCTCCTGCCCGGGCTGTCTTTGAACCGCGATCCTCAGATCTCAGCCTCCTGAGTAGCTAGAATTAGTATTTGTATTCTTAATCACTGTATCATGATGGTTATTGAATATAACTTCATAATGATAGCTTAAGTATGTAATGAGGATTTTTGATATGTTAATTATTGGAAGGTCACCAAGAATTGTCTTTTTCACTTAACATAAAAACTACTTGAGGGAGATACAAGAGTCAGTTCCATGGATGACATATGTAAGGTTGGCTACTAAAGATAGCTGTGAAGTTTCTGGCCTAGATCTGTGTCCATGGAGATTCAGCTAATACTTGACTTAGAATTAAATCTTTCATGTAAGAGGGGAGTTGAAGAAAAGTAGGCTTATAATAGGAAGGTTTAGAAAGAGAAGCATCCATCCATCCATCCATTAATATATACATAAAACCATCAGTTTTTACACATTAGTATAAGTACATCTTTTTGTGGAAGCCTGAGAAATGGAAGTTCCTAATTGTGCTCACAATTGCTATCCCAGTTTTTCTTAAAGAAAAGAAAGTGTGTTATAAATATCAGTTGTCTAAGCCATCCCAACATAAGTAGTATGCTTATAAATTGACAACTTTTACACTAAAAATATTTAGGTTTTAGGAGTAGAAGAAAACTAGTCAGGGCTAACTTGAAGGAAAAGATCAAAGTAACTTTTCATTGTTTTACGTATGTTTTTTTCCCTCTCATCTTTTAGATAATGTTGGTGGATGGATTTAAAGGAAAGAAGATTCAAGATGTAAAGAAGACTATTCAGAAAAAGATGATAGATGCTGTATGTGAGAGACTGTCCTCTGAAGGCTATTTTGAAAGAGTTGTTAATTAATAGACTAGTAGTAAATTCTGTTGAATCTGGAGCCATATTAAGATTTTATGGCAGAAATAGACCTAGTTAGTAATTCATTTAACTTGAACACCCTACCTGTAATGTGGATGAAGATAGTATTCAAAAACACTAAGCACACACAGAAAACTTTAATGATGTTTTTGGTCAGTAATAATTTTAGATACTGGTGTAATTATGGTGCTTTACTTTTTTTTTTTTGTCAGTCGTGGGGCTTGAACTCTGGGCCTGGGTGCTATCCCTGAGTTCTTCAGCTCAAGGCAAGCACTCTACCACTTAAGCTACAGCACCACTTCTGGTTTTCTGGTGGTTAATTGGAGATGATTGTCTCAGGGCATTTTTGTCCGGGCTGGCTTTGAACTGCGATCCTCAGATCTCAGCCTCCTGAGTAGCTAGGATTACAGGTGTGAGCCACCAGCGTCCGGCTGGTGCTTTACTTCTTACTTTACCTCTACCTCTTTCCTCCATTTTTGTAATAAACCTTTTCTACCTAGCTTGTTAGGCAGGCACTCTATCACTTAAGCTACTTTTAGCCCTATGAACCTTTTAGTTCATGGGTAGGAAATGTCACTTTATTCCACTAGAAGAATCTAAGAAAGAACCATTGCCTTTGGGGAAGCCCTAATGTTTATCCATGTTACTGTTAACTTTTGAGTTTGTTATACAGAAGATTCTTCTGGTGACTGACTTAAAGTCTATACATTTGGGAGCTGATTGGGGAATTATTGGTAGGATTGATTTTTACTGTATTTGTCCCTTTTTTTGCTCAGACTGGTCTCAAACTGATCCTCCCATTCTCACTCCCAAGTTGGTACGATTATAGGTGTGAGTCATCAGTGCTTGGGAATTATGGTTAATTAGGTAACTTTTTTTTTGCCGGTCTTGGGGTTTGAACTTAGGATGGGGGTACTGTCCTGAATTGTTGTTTTCAAGGTTAGTGTTGTACCACATAAGCCATAACTCCATTCTAGCTTTTTGATGTCTTAACTGAAGATAAGAATCCCATGGACTTTACTGCCTGGGCCGACTTCAGATCCTCAGATTTCAGCTCCTTAGTAGTTAGGGTTATAGGCGTGATCCACCAGCACCTAGCTTCATGGCAAATTTATCTTTATAATGAAACAAATGTCATAGGAAATCTAACTATCAAGCCATAACACCAAGAGCTGCTAAAATATGTTCATTTTTCACTGGTGAGGCTTAATTTCACTGATGAGCCTAGGGAAAATTACCCATTTTGTAAAGGTGTATGTCATTTCAAAAACAAATGTTAATGCAGAAGGGAAGGGCAGGTAACTTCAACCCTGGGGAGAGGGAAGAAAGGGATACATGAGTTTTGATTATTGGGGACATAAGATATTTCTTTAAAAAGTAGCTTTTATCACCCTCAAGGAATGGAGGTTAATTTGCTATGATATCTGACATTTGTATTTGCCCTGTTTTAGGGGGATGCACTGATTTACATGGAACCCGAGAAACAAGTCATATCCAGGTCTTCAGATGAATGTGTTGTGGCTCTGTGTGACCAGTGGTTAGTCTCTCTTATTGAAAATTCTGTCTTTCACTTTTCCCATCTGACTTAAAAACTAACAAACAATAATTTGTCCATTGCCAGGTACTTAGATTATGGAGAAGAACACTGGAAAAAACATACTTCTCAGTGCTTGAAGAACTTGGAAACGTAAGATAAGAGAAAGAAGGGAAATGAGATAAGAAACATGGGAGAAAATAAGGCAAAGGGAGACACTTTGCCTCTTGCTTTTTCAGATTCAGTGAGGAGACGAGGAGGAATTTTGAGGCTTCCTTAGACTGGCTTCAAGAACATGCTTGCTCAAGAACTTATGGTTTAGGTAAGCAAAGTGCACACATTTCTGTTTGAATGGCTTATCTGTTACCCAGCAATTACACATCTTTACCTTTTCTCTGAATTGTAAGTGACAGGTTTTGGTAGAGGACAAGGGAAACCAGGATGTGAGTCTCTACCATTTATCAGATGATAGAAATATGTCCTTTTAACCTATGTAGTTTTTTTGTTTTGTGACTTTTTTTTTATAGGAAGAGTTCAGAGCTTTACCTGTTTTGTTTCTTATCTACTATTTTAGTTTATTTTTACTTATTATTTAAGTAGAATTAAAGAACTTCCTAAATGAGTGAGTTGAAAATGCGATTTTGAGGTCTCTACTACAATTCCTTAGGCATGAATTTTCTTCTTTTGACATTTTAGGCACTCGCTTGCCATGGGATGAACAATGGCTTATCGAGTCACTCTCAGATTCCACTATTTACATGGCGTTCTACACAGTTGCACATCTGTTGCAGGGGGGTAACTTGAGTGGACAGGCAGAATCTCCACTTGGAATCAGGTTGGTAAATTTAAGGGTAAGTTAAGGGAAAGGAACATAGCTTGTTAGCAAGTGTTGTGATCATTTGATTTATGTACTGAAAGTTTCTTCTGTATTTAATTTTCGTAAGAGTCCAGTTAGCAGAAATTTGCTGTTGTTTTTAACTGTGGAATTAAAAAATTAATCAATAACCCCTCTATTAACATTCATTCTTCATTCTTGTAGGAGTTTTTTGTCCTTGTTTGATGTTGTAGCTATATTGAGAAAGATTCCTAATTTGTGGTTAGATTAAAATTTTTGATTCTTTCAGAGAATTTTTTTTATGCATTTGTGTATATAGTGTAATGTGTATGTAAATGTGGTGTATATGTATATATATACACCATATATACACACACACATGTATGTGTTTTGTTTGCTTTGTTTTAATATAGGCCACAACAAATGACAAAGGAAGTTTGGGATTATGTTTTCCTTAAAAATGCTCCATTTCCTAAGACTCAGATCCCAAAGGAAAAATTAGATCAGTTAAAGCAGGAGTTTGAGTACTGGTATCCTGTGGATCTTCGAACTTCTGGAAAGGATCTTATTCCAAATCATCTTTCATATTACCTTTATAATCATGTGGCAATGTGGCCAGAACAAAGGTGAATGCTAAAATATGGACTGCATTTATTGATTTTTATTGAATGTATTTTATGTTTTCAAGTATCTAAGAAATTATTGTGCAGTGTACTGCTAGACTTGCCAGTTACATTAGTCTTCTTAATTAAAAGTATACTAAGATGGGTGTTGGTAGCTCATACCTATCTTCCTAGCTACTTAGAAGGTTGAGATCTGAGAATCATGGTTGAAAGCAAGTTGGACAGGAAAGTCCATGAGATTTTTATCTCTAATTAACTACCAAAAAGCCAGAAGTGGAGCTGTGGCTCAAGTGGTAGAGAACTAGCTTCTAGTACAACCTTCAGGGACAGTGCCCAGGTCCTGAGTTCAAGCCCTAGGACTGGTGTATGTGCATGCACTCTCGCACATACACGCGTGCGCGCGCGCGCGCACACACACACGTATGCTAAAATAGAAAGCATGTTTCTTCTTACCTGTGACATCTAGAAATCCTTCCTACCTCAGGCTACCAAAGTATCAGGTGCATTAATAATGTGCTAATAATTTATTTGACCTATTAGATGTAGGAATAAAGACAATTCAAGCCACATATTGTGGCTTAATCACATTAATCACTAATAATAACTGCTTTAGTTATCAGTCCAAGTTATCAAGGAAGATCTGTGGTAGTCACATTTTAAAGACATTTACTGAGGCATAATATGGTCAAGTAACAGCCCAAACACCCTAGTAAGTGGCAACACTAGACTGTAAATCCAGAGTCTGGCTCTAGAACTCCTGTTTTCATTATGTTCTTTTTTTTTTTTTTTTTTTTTGGGGGTGGGGGGTTGGCCAGTTGTGGGGCCTGAACAATGGGCCTGAGCGCTGTCCCTCAGCTCTTCAGCTCAAGGCTAGCGCTCTACCACTTGAGCCACAGCGCCACTTCTGGCTTTTTTCTTTTTGCTTATGTGGTGCTGAGGAATCGAACCCAGGGCCTCAGGCATGCAAGGCAAGCACTCTACCACTGAGCCAACTTCTCAGCCCCTGTTTTCATTATGTTCTACATGATCTCGTTGCTAGAAAAAATGAGTGAAGGAATGTGCACAGCTTGAAAATTCAAAGAGTATGTAAAAGAGTAAAAAGTTCAAAGTGAACTTTCACCCTTGTGGCACTACCACTCCTCTCAGTTCATTACTGAAATTATTATCTTGTGATTCCTCTGGAAGAAAGTGTTTATGCATATATTAACATCAGATGTCTGTATACAGCATTTACATTTTTATACATTATTCTGTAAAATAATCTTTTTGTATTCATACATATAGCCCTGCTTTTTAAAAATTTATTTAAGGTAAACAGTAAGTTTATTTGAAAGCGAAAGGAAAGCCATGAAAGGAAATTAGCAAGACTATCCATCTAGAGAAGGGTCCAAAGGGGAAGAGTCCCCTGCCTATTTTTTAAAAAGTAGTTAAAGCTAGTACATACCTATGTATAATTTTTTACCGCTGTCTTTTGTTTCCTTTTAAAAATGGGAGCACAAGTAGGGGTGCTGCTCAGAGCACTGCAGTAGATATCCTTGGACATTTCTTAGCAAATGTTTACTAATTGTTAACCTCTACCTCAATACTATAAGTCTAAACTGTAATCTTTCTGTAATTTTTTTGTTTTGAAACATTTCCCTGTGAAGAGACAAATGGCCTGTAGCTGTTCGAGCAAATGGACATCTCCTTCTCAACTCTGAGAAGGTAAGGCTCATTGCCCCTTAAAGTTTACAGTTCTGTGGAAGGCTTTTCTAATTTTGGAAGGTGTAATTTTTTACTGGAAGAAATGAGGAATATAATGAAAGTTGGAAACCTATCTAAATCTGTAGGACTGAGAGCATAAACAATTTTAGTCTCAGAAATTAATCAAGTGGAATAGTTAGCATTAATTGAGTAGAGTAGGGAAAATGTTTCAGCACTTGTGTTGAGTGGCAAGATTGTGACTAGAGAGTGAGAGAAAAAAAAAAAGAAAACATAAGGATAGTAAGCATAAAGATCTTAAACTTGACCTCGTTTCTCTTATTAGTGGAGAAATGGTTTTATTTTATACTATAGCCCCTAAAATATTTAATCCTTCTTCCCAGGTAGTATACCATCCTTATCCTGCCACCATTATTGCTGGCAAAATGTTCATTTAAAAAAAATTTTTTTTACAGGTTACAAAAATTTATCTCCTACCTCCCTTTTCTTTATACTCCTAATTGAATCAGGGTCTTGTGCAAACTAGACAGGTGTTCTGCTACTGAATTATGTTCCCAACCTTTTTGTAAACTTGTTTTGAGACAGAGTTACTAAGTTGCTATGCTGGGTTTGGCCTTTTGATCATCCTGTCTCAGCATCCTGAGTAGCTGGGATTTCAGACATATATCCATCCCATGACCACTTGGCCTTTATGCCATTAATCTATATCCTCAATAGAAGGTTGTGCAAACCTCTTGACCAGAAGCCTCGTTTGTTCCTCCAATACATATACAAATTAGAGAAGAATACTCCTCTTCAAAAATAACAGCAAAACAAGGTAAAGGTGATAGTATTATTTGTTTCTCATTAGTAAAATTTAGATTTATTACATCTAATGAATTTTGCTATAACCAGTGGAATATTAATGACAGAGTATTAGTTATTCTAAGTATTATGGAATAATGAAAATAGATAACAGATTCGAACAGTGGCATTTGAAACAAATTTGTGTCTGTACCAGATCCAGCCAGTATCCTAAAAGTTAAAGTTAATTAAAAAGTTTAAGATAATCTGTTCATTAGACGGAAATACAGTTTTTTAGAAGCATGAGTCATTATAAACAGGTTATCTATAAAGATCTATAAAGATTTTTGTTCAACTAACTTGATAATTGAACTCATTTCTTCTTTGTTAGTCAAAGTGGAATAATATGCATAAATATACATATCCATTTGTTTTTAAGTTCAATTTTAATTTTAGAGACAGGGTTATACTATGTACCCCTGAGTGGCCTCAAGCTTTCCTAGTATGCTGGATTACAAATGTGTGCTACTGTGCCAACTGAATAAAACACATACACACAAACACACACAAATCCCATTAGACTATGACATTTCCTGTGTTCATGTGAACATTGTTATGCTATATTAACTTTGTTATGCTATATTATTAACTTCATTATGCTACATTAACATTGGTAGAATAGTATACTTGCTGTCATACAGCAGAAAAGTGATGTGATGATTATTTCTTTGACATCAGTAATATAATCATGGCATAAAGATTTTAAAACATTATAAGTAGTTATACTCTTTAGTGCTTCCTAGATGTACTGCCTTTGCGCCCAACAGTTTGATCAGTTACTGTGACAGTAATGACAGGATCATTCTTGAAATCTTCACTCTAACCTCATAAACTAGTCCATCCCATTTCGGAGTGATTCTGAATGCTCTAAATCTCTTCTTTACATAATTAACTGAAGGACTCTGCATCTAGTGGAATTATTCAACACTTGTAACTTAGTTACCAGAGGGCGGTATAGGCTGATGGAAACCACAGTGGACTGAATATCAGGCTTATCTCTATGTAGCTCTGATTAGCTAAATCACTTTATTGATCTAGCTTCTGTTTTGCTTCTCTAAAAGTCATGTATATTTTCCTTTCCATGTCTTGAATTCTTTTTTCTTCATTTGTCAAAGACAACCTGATGAATGTTATTTGGTTAATCTGACATTGACTTTCTATTTCAGATGTCAAAATCTACAGGCAACTTCCTCACTTTGACTCAAGCTGCTGACAAATTTTCAGCAGATGGTGAGTATATATTTTATTATTGCTGTTGCATAGGCTCTAATTCTTAGATTACAGAAGACTGGTTAAAATACACATTATTTTACTTTGTACAACAATTTGAAGAAAATACGAAAAAATTATACAATTATTCAAAACAAAAAAAAGTGGTGTTACTTTTTTCCTTCACTTTTAACAAAATTTTTAAATATTTTATGTTCTAGCTGGATGACAGTATTTAAATTAAGACACAACTACAGATATCTGTTCAGGAACAAATTCTGAGTTTAAAGTTTTCTTTTTTTTTTTTTTTTTTGTTGGTTTTGGGGCTTGAACTCTGGGCCTGGGTGACAGAAGTCCCTCAGCTCTTCAGCTCAAGGATAGTGCTCTACCACTTGAGCCACAGCGCCACTTCTGGTTTTCTGGTGATTAATTAGAGATAAGAGTCTCATGGACTTTCCTGCCAGGCTGGCTTTGAACCACAGCCCTCAGGTCTCAGCCTCCTGAGTAGCTAGAATTATAGGCATGAGCCACTGGTGCTCAGCTTAGAGTTTTCTTTTAAATGAAACTCATGGTAACTGCTAAGATTTAAACTTGTTGGTAGACTTCCTGAACCCACAAAAGCTTTTTCAACATTTGTCTTATGTGTTTGTTGTTCCCCCAAATGATTTTTCTTTTGTCTTTTAAAAAATAATTATTAGGGCTGGGAAGGTGGCTCAGTGGTAGAGTGCTTGCCTTGCATGCATGAGGTCCTGGATTCGATTTCTCAGCACCACATAAGCAGAAAAAAGCCAGAAATGGTGCTATGGATCAAGTAGTAGAGCGCTAGCCTTGAGCTGAAGAGCTGAGGGACAACACCTAGGTCCAGAGTTCAGGCCCCAGGACCCGCTCCCCCTCCCCCCCAATTATTATAAAGGTGATATATAGAGGGGTTACAGTTACATAAATCAGGTAAAGAGTACATTTCTGTTTTTTTTTGTCAGTTGTGAGGCTTGAACTCCGCCTGGGCACTTTCCCTCAGCTCTTTAGCTCAAGGCTAATGCTCTACCACTTGAGCTATAGCACCACTTCTGATTTTTTGTTTTTTTTTGGTCACTTCTGGTTTTTGAGTGGTTTCTGGAGATAAGAATCTCATGGAGACTCTTCTGCCTGGGCTGGCCTTGAACTGTAATCCTCAGATCTCACCCTCCAGAGTAGCTAAGATTATAGGCATGAGCCACTGACACCCAGTGAAGAGTCCATTTCTTGTTGGACAATGTCATCCCCAGTGTGTGTGTGTGTGTGTGTGTGTGTGTGTGTGTGTGTGTGTGTGTGTGTGTGTGTGTGTGTGTGTGTGTGTGTGTGTGTGTGTGTGTGTGTGTGTGTGTGTGTGTGTGTGTGTGTGTGTGTGTGTGTGTGTGTGTGTGTGTGTGTGTGTGGTGGGGGGAAGGCTTGGGCACTGTCCGCTCAAGGCTAGTGCTCTACCACTCTGAGCTACAGTGCCATTTCTGGTTTTCTGGTGGCTAATTGGAGCACATCACACAGAATTCCCTGCCTGGGTTGGCTTTGAACTGCAGTCCTCAGATCTCAGCCTCCTGAGTAGCTAGGATTACAGGAGTGAGACAGCAGCGCCTGGCTCACTGTTACATTTCTATATATGTCACAAATACAAACCAATGAGTCTCAACCTTAGTTGTAACCTTTGTTGATTTGTCTATTGGAACTATTTCTGTTTCTTAGAACACATAATTTAAAATATTATTTGATTTTAAGTAAGTAATACATATATGTAGTTCAATATTCAGAAGATATGAGAAGCATGTGTATTAAAAACATTCCTTCTCGGGGCTGGGAAGATGGCTCAGTGGTAGAGTGCTTGCCTTGCATGCATGAGGCCCTGGGTTCAATTCCTCAGCACCACATAAGCAAAAAGAAAAAAAGCCAAAAGTGGCACTGTGGATCTGTGGCTCAAGTGGTAGAGCGCTAAGCCTTGAGCTGAAGAGCTGAGGGATAGCACCCAGGCCCAGAGTTCAGGCCACACGACTGGACCCCCCCCCCAAAAAAAACAAAAACAAAAACATTCCTTCTCTTATGTCCTAGCTACTGATTTATTTTCTATTAAGTTGGCAATTTCTTCCTGTGTTTGCTTTTCCTGTATCACTAGTAGAAATATAAATTGGTGTTTCTGGAAGCAGCTATGGCAATTCTTAATAAAACTTGTCTTGGCTAAACAATCTCACTTCTAACAGTACAAACATGTATTCATTAATCACTGCAAAACATTAGTCAACCCAAATAAGTGGTTTTGCATATGTTAGTGAATAAACTAAGTGTTCAAGTGTAGAGTATTATGTAAGACTTGTAAGAATGTAAGAGTGATTTCCAGTATGTACATTTTCAGGGAAAAACCCCAACAGATCTGGTAAAGAATATGTGATGTGTATATTCCTCATTACCAAAGTAGGGTATAGAATAATTTACATATCCACTAATTTTTACAAACAGCACTAGAATGATTAGCTGGAAACTGGAGAGATTAGTTACCTGTGAGGTGGGTAGGAAAGGCTTGGAGAGGATGGCAATTGGCTAGTCCTTAAGGATAAAGAAGGGGAGATACTTTCCTGAGTATTTCTTTTTTTTTTTTTTTTTTGTGTCCAGTTGTGGGGTCTGAACTCTGGGCCTGGGCGCTGTTCCTCAGTTCTTCAGCTCAAGGCTAGCGCTCTACCACTTGAGCCACAGCGCCACTTCCGGCTTTTTTCTTTTTGCTTATGTGGTGCTGAGGAATCGAACCCAGGGCCTCATGTATGCAAGGCAAGCGCTCTACCACTGAGCTACCTTCCCAGCCCTCCTGAGTATTTCTTTTCTATAGCTTTGGCACTAAAACCATAGTAGTGTTTCTTATATCTAAATGCTAAATGCATAGTTAAAATCAGCTAGGTTGTGTGGGTAGGAGACTGCAAGTGGAACATTCATAGTAAAAAATGGTCATGTCTATATTGCAAATGAAATCGTGACTATTGAAAGAAATAGGGAACAACTAATTTTGAAAACAGCCTATTGCTTAGATACCAAAGCTAAAGACAAAAAGAACTGTGTAACAGTACTGCTACTAAGAGTAACAGATGTGTTTCTTACAAGAGATAGAAGCAATTATGAAACTGTACACTGGATTAAAAAAGCAGTAAAAATACATTGTATGTAATAGAACTGCTGTCTTAGCTTATTGTCAGAAAATGAAGTAAATGGGGAAGACTAGAATAAACTGAATGGTATTAAATTGAAGTTGGAATTAGTATGAGCTCATGATTTTAAAAACATTTGCTATCTATATATTTGTATTTGGGAGATCTCTGTCTATCTGTCTATCTATCTCTTCTATCTCTATCTATCTATCTGTCTGTCTATCTGTTTGTCTGTCTATCTCTCTCTCTCTCTCTCTCTCTCTCTCTCTCTATCTATCTACTATCTATCTATCTACCTATGTTTGGCAGGTCTTCACTCTGTAGCTCAGACTAGTCTGTAGTTTGTGATCCTCCTGCCTCTGCCTTCCAAGTGCTAAGATGATAGGTGTGAACCAGAATCCTGAGCTCATGATTTACTTTTGTTTGTGTGCGCCATTACCAGGCTTGAATTCAGGGCTTCTCTCACTCAGCTTTTCTGCTCATGGTTCATGATTTAGCATTTGAACTACACCTCCTGTTGCATGAATTTTATGTTATGTGCATGTATATAATAAGTATTAATGTTATGTGTGCATAACATTAACTCTTGTTTTGCCTACTGAGAATGCTTAGGGCAGTGACGCCTCAGTAGCAATGACACAAGGGGCATTCAGAACTTACTTTCTAAATATCATTTTCTCTGAGGAACTGGAGCTTCTCAGAAAAGTGATGGATTTGAGGGCTGGAGCAGAGAAAATACACAGGATAAGTGGAACATGTATGGTGCCAAAATAGTAAGGAGGAGCTTAGGAAAGGATAGGTTATTTTTGGTCTTTTTGTTTCATTCATTCATTCATTCATTCAAACACAGAGTTGTGTACTTTATGATATAGCCCAGGCTGGCTGGCTTCTAATTTGTGTTCTGATTCTGCCTGAGGAGTACTGAGATTACAGGTGTGTGGCACCTGTAGTCTTTTCCTTCCCTCCCTCCCTCCTTCCTTCCCTACCTTCTTTCCTTCTTCTTTTCCTTCCTTCATGCCAAGGATCAAATCTAGAGTCCCAGTCTTGCTGAGCAAGGGCTACACTTCCAAATGGTGCCCTTTCCCCAGATATGGGGACATATTGAAACAAACAGGAGACAGCTTGAGGGGCTTCTAATGGCCTATGCAAGAATAGTTTATGTAACCAAGTACATAATGATAATATTGATTAGTACCCAGTGAGTGAATTAAGTGTTTGTAAGTGCATACTGATGTATATTAATTATTGAATAGACAAATCTATGTAGGAGTAAGGACACTTTTTCTTGTGAAGTCCAATGAATAAATGTAAGAATATTGAGTAAAAATATTTATTGCCTAAAATCATCATTGCGCAAACTAACTATAGTAATAATTATTACAGACTGTTTCAAATGAAATATGGTCTGCATATCCTCAGAGTATCTCTCCCAAGGTATTATTATTTGCCAACGAAAGAGTAATTTTATAAGGAGAAACTTGTTTATAACAGCTTAACTGAGAGATCTATTAGCAATACCAGCTGTAAGTCATGTCATTATCATATGTCTTCCTGGTATGATACACTATAGACACATCTGTTTTGTGATTTTCTTGCCAAAGGTTAATAAACTCCCCAGGTCATGAGGGAACATCATACAAAACCAAAATTGGGAGCAGTTCTCTTAAATAATCAGTATTCATCTGAAGTGTCAGGGTCGTGAAAGACAGGAAAGACTAAGAAGCTGTCACTTTGAAGAGACCTAGGGGACACAGCACTAAAATGAAATGTGTGGGTCTTGGAACAGTAAAAAGATATCATATGAAACACTGGCAAATTAGTATAAGGTGTAGAATTTGGTTAATGATATTTATACTAATGTTAGCATTCTGGTTTGAAATGATGGTTAAATTGCTTACATTAGGAAAGCAGGGTGATGGCATTTATTTTTAACTCTACTAGGTTTTAAAAATATTTTTTCTGTTAAGAGTAAAATTATTTCAAAATAAGACTAAAAAGTACTTTGAGCTTCTGGTGTACAGATATTTGATGCCACCATCTGTGTCTTCATCTACCACCTGTATAATGCTAAGGGTGCCCACATGAACTACTTTTACTGTTGTGTATAGATTTGATATTACTGCATATTAGTATATAATGACTTTCCTCTTGTTTTTCAGCACTAATAGCATTCCACTGTGGCCATGTCCTGTGGTTTATTTAATTTATTAATTTAATTAGGCTTATTAATGGATTTTTAGTCTCCTCCTGCAGTATTTTCTTTCTTATTTTTTTGGCAGGGGGTTGATAGTAGCCGTACCCTCAGGTTTTGCTTTAGTTATTTTTCAGATAGGATCTTACATTTTTTGCCTGGGCAGACTAGGACCACAGTCCTCTAACCTATGCCCCTTACAGAGTTGGGATTAAAGGTATGTGCCAGCCACTATATACAGATTATTCTTTGAGATGGGGTCCTGTCAGCTTTTCTCCTGTGCTGACTTCAAACCATGATCCTCATATTCCCGTTTTCCAAGAACCTAGTAGGATTATAGACACGGGCTTCTGTGCGAAGGTTTTGGTAGTTTTAAGCGCTGAGAGTTTACAAATGTCATTTTATTAATGAAATATTTGGATGAACCTAATTTTATTTATTTATTTTTTTGGGTCCGGTAGTGGGGCCTGAACTCTGGGCCTGGGCGTTGTCCCTCAGCTCTTCAGCTCAAGGCTAGTGCCCTACCACTTGAGCTACAGCACCACTTCCGGCTTTTTTTTTCTTTTTTGCTTATGTGGTGCTGAGGAATTGAACCCAGGGCCTTGAGCATGCAAGGCAAGCACTCTACCACTGAGCCACCTTCCCAGCCCCTGGATGAACCTAATTTTAGGACTGAAAAATTAAATTTGCATTTGAACACCTAAGTCATCAATATGTCTTCATGCTTTAAAATATTGTAATATTTTGCTACTTGTTAATGAGTCTGAGATGTTCATAGAGAAACTACAAAGAAATATATAGCTATCCTCAGTTTATCTAATTTACTTCCAATGCCTCATTAAAGATTGCTTTATCTCATTAACTCAGCATGATTAAGAAGAGACACATATTGATGCTAAGTGTATGCAGATTGATACAGATGTTTCAAATACTTTAGTAACTTACTTTGGGATCCTACATTTGGTGACTTTATTTTTTTTTGTGTGCCAGTCCTTGGTTTTGAACTCTGTCCCTGGGTTCCTTTTGCTTAAGGCTATCACTCTACCACTTTATCATTTGAGCCACAATGCCACTTCCAGCTTTTTCTGTGATTAATTGGAGATAAGAGTCTCATCCCCACTGCTGGCTTTAAACTGTGATCCTTAGATCTCAGCTTCCTGAGTAGCTAGGATTACAGATGTGAGTCACTGGTGGCCAGCCAACTTTTGGTGATTTTGATATTTGCTGTTGATCCAAGCAGTCCTTTAAAATTTTATTATTTCTTAATTTATCTGTGGATATCTGGATACAGAGTTGATACTTAGTAACCATATTTTTAGTTCATTGATTGATTTTCTCTTTATTTCTTTTAGGAATGCGCTTGGCTCTGGCTGATGCTGGTGACACTGTGGAAGATGCCAACTTTGTGGAAGCCATGGCAGATGCAGGTATTCTCCGTCTGTACACCTGGGTGGAGTGGGTGAAAGAAATGGTTGCCAACTGGGACAGCCTAAGAAGCGGTCCTGCCAGCACTTTCAATGACAAGGTGTTTGCCAGGTAAGCTGGGATTCCCAACTGCTATGTGCTTTTGGAGTTGTAGTCCTGGTGAGTCTTTAAGTTTTCTTTTGCTTTTTTCCTTTTCTCAAACATGTTAGAGGATAACAATAGCTACTATTCACTGATGGCTTCCTTGTGCCAGGTCCAGTTAAGTTCTTGGCATCCATTATCTGACTTTCACCTCAAGTCATTATAGAGATATTAGTAGCTCCATTTTATAAAGAACTAAGGTTTAGAAGAATCAAATATATTTTATTAAATACCTTGAAGCTAGTAATTGAAACCTAGGATGTAAATTTGTTTCTGTCTCTAATGTCTGTCCTTATAACCACTTCCCTTGTTGTCTTGCATTAGAGTTTGGCAAAAGGTAGTTCCAGGGAAAGTAAATTAAAAGAAAAGGAGAAAAGCCTTTTTGTTTTTTAAATTCAAGACATTCATTAACTTTTTTGTATCAGGAACTATCCTAAGCCCTGGTGTTACTTATGTCATGAATGTGACATGACTCTTTCTTGTTGATCAGGACAGAAAAGCACTGCACCAACTGTAAATGTAATAATAAAGATAGAAAGTTCACAGATGTATGAATTCTGTGCATCTTTAAAAATAAACAATGCAATGGGAGGAGGAAGCCTGTATAAACCATAGAAAGCTTCCTGCCATTGTATCCTCAGCACTGGCATTATAGGCATATATCACCTTACCTGATAATTATGTAGTATTTCAATCATGTTAAACATATTTACCTTCTTAAACATTTATCATTTCCTTGTGGTAAAAATTTTCAAAATCATTTGTCACAAGCAACAAGATTTCATTTTTTTATATGCTCATTGTGTATGAATACCAGGTTATTTTTTTTTTTTTTTTTTGCCAGTCTTGGGGCTTGAACTCAGGGCCTAGGCAACTCTCCCTGAGCTTCTTTTGCTCAAGGTTAGCACTCTACCACTTGAGCCACAGCACCACTTCCAGCTTTTTCTGTGTATAGTCCTGAGGAATCAAACCCAGGGCTTCATGCATGCTAGGCAAGCATTTTGACTAAGCCACATTCCCAACCTAGAGCACCACATTTTCTTACCAATTCATCAGTTGAAGGGCAATTAGGTTGCAATTTCTTGATTTTTGTGAGTAGTGCTGCAGTGAATATGGGAGAGAAAAATGTCTCTGACTGATTTTGTTTGTTTTGGACAAATAGATACTCAGGAGTAGAATTGTTGGATCATATGGTAGTTTTATCTTAAGCTGTTTGAGGAAATTCTATACTCTTTTCCATAATGCTGTACATGTAATTCCACTAACAGTGGGCTAAGGTTCCTTTTCTCCACATCCTTCCCAACATTTGTTAATTCTTTTAGTCTTTTTGATAGTAATTATTCTCAGTTTGCATTTCCTCATGTCTGATTAGTAATGCTGAGCACTTTTTCATGTACTGTTGATCATTTGTATGGGACATGTTTTTAAGTATCTAGTATTGGTATTAAAAATGCAGTCATTAAAGTATGGCTACAAACCTTATTTGAAGCATCTTTGTATTTTATTGGAGATTCACAATGCAGATTGCAATAAGGAATTCCCAAATAAATATCATTAGCTAAATAGGAGCTCTCACAGTAAAAGGTGATGATACTTAAGGCTATCTATCTAGACAACAGAGATACTGCACTTGGTAGTTTTCAGGAGCATGAAGCTGTTTCTGTGCTGGACACTTTTTTTTTTTCATGAACACTTTTTTTTTTCACTCGATTACTCTAAATTTGATTAATGTCTTCAGTTCATTATTTACACTAAAACATGGGTTTTTTTTTTTTTTTTTTTTTTTACATTGCTCAATGAAACTTTAATCTACAAAAGATTGAATGTTTATAGGGTTGGAGAAGCATTTATCAAGAGAAGAACGAGGGGGGATAAACAATGTTTGACAAGAAATGTACTCACTACTTTATGTATATAACTGTAACCCCCTTTGTACATCACTGACAATAAAATTAAAATTTTAAAAAGTGTAAATAAAATTGCAGGTAAGAGAGATCAGCTTCAGAAGGTAGTATGTGGAATATGTCTCTCTTTTTTAGCAATTCAGAAAGGATTAGAGTTAGAGTATTCAATTGTAAAACATGGGTTTTAAAAAGCATTCTGATACATAAATAGACCAAGGGACACTTGGGTAGCTAATCACTAAAACATTGTGCTGGACACTTAAAAATATTCAAATACTGTCATTTTAGTGCTTCTATGAATGCATATTAGTCCTTACTTAAGATACATATATATTATATCTACATGTATTCGTATATATTCACATATGCTTACGCAAATACAGTAGCCCTTAAATTCAATAACTTTTTAAATGTTTTTATTCAATAGTGAAATGAATGCAGGAATCATAAAGACAGATCAAAATTATGAAAAGATGATGTTTAAAGAAGCTTTGAAAACAGGGTTTTTTGAGTTTCAGGTATGCTGTTTTTTTGGTATCTAAAAGAAGTCAATGTGAATATGATGTATTTTTTCCCCCTTTCTTGTCCTGCTAATTCCATGTCTAAAGTATAGATCAAAGTCTTGTTAAGAAACTTTAAAATCTTTAGTAGATAGTGATTTTGTCATTTCATTGATCCTTTTCTCTACTGTGTTCATTTAATGTAAAGTATTTTGTTCCTATCTGAACTTTGAGCATATGAAATTAAATCCAAAAAGCAGCCACACTTTTTATACAAATATTTAAAACTGATTAAAATGAAATTATAATTTACTTGAGACAAATGGTTTCTGAGGTCTTCCACAAGATGTCAGTATTTCTCCATGTTTGGCATTTCAAGAGTATCCAGTAAAAATGCTGGTTTTTTTTTTCCTTTTCAGTTAGTTTTGTAAAATCTCTCATTGGGATTTATGTAACTTGGTTTTCAGATGTAATTAAACAAGGAGAAGTGCTGAGAATATCAGTGTGTTGTGTTTGTGGCTGTTTTGATATTTAACATCTTTCCTATAGACTGCTCAAAGCCAGCATGCTTAAAGCAGTTAATATTGTTAAGCTTTTCTCAGTATAGAATGCCTATGAAACATTTTTTTCTTGAAATAATTAATATATACAATATCTTTTGAGAAAAGGCTGAAAATTTCTTGAAGTAAAAGCTTTATAATAATTTCTCATGGAATTGAAAAAAAGACTAAAAAATACAACAGAAATACTGACTTTATTTTGTTTTAAAAAAGGTGAGGGAAATGGTAAACAATTTGAAATTTTGTAGGCTGCAAAAGATAAATACCGTGAGTTGGCCATAGAAGGGATGCACAGAGACCTCGTGTTCCGCTTTATAGAAGTTCAGACACTTCTTTTGGCTCCATTCTGTCCACATGTGTGTGAGCACATCTGGACACTCCTGGGGAAGGTATGGACTAGCTTTGTTTTGACCTTATTAACTAAGCATTGTAATAAAATTGTCACTTAGAGAAAAAAGCAGAAAATGAGTTTCTGAAAAAAAATACTGGTTTATTGTCATAATTATAAGGGGTTAAAACAGCTAAATAAGACAGTAAATCATATAGGTACTTTTGTGTATACCCAATGTATGTATTTTAAAACATGTGCATGTTTATCTCCTACCTAATCTCATCTATTAGAAAATTTGTAGTAAGTTGAATATATTCAGATATAGTTTGAATGTATTTTTTTTTTTTTTTTGCCAGTCCTGGGGCTTGAACTCATGACCTGGGCATTGTCCCTGAGCTTCTTTAGCTCAAGGCTAGCACTCTACCACTTGAGCTACAGTACCACTTCTGGCTTTTTCTGTTTATGTGGTACTGAGGACTCAAACGCAGAGCTTTATACATGCTAGGCAAACACTCTACCACTAAACCACATTCCCAGCCCAAATGCATGTATTTTTATAGTGTTCTTCCAACTGTTAAAAAGTAAAGATATTGTAAAAGACAAAAACTGTTATGAGCTGCTTATAAGTAAAGAATAGAAGCACATAGTTGTACAAACTTGTTTTATATATACTGGACTGTACGTTCAGGGATAGTATATTAGCATTCTTACTGTGAAGATAAATTCATCTATTCTAGACCTGCCAATAATAAGTACATTGGCTGGTTTAATGTTTCCTTTCAACCTTCTTAGTGAGGCTGGTTTGTATTTTTCAACTTATTTATGATACAGAATGTACTTGTAAGCTATACTGAATAGCCATACTTTCCATAGGGGGTATATTAATAGGATAAAAACTGAGTGTGCTTAATTTATATAATAATGACTAAATTTAGGCAAATTAGCATTACATACTTTTCTTTGAAAGTGAGCATATGTGTGTGGGTATTAATACATTTGTACAAATGAATGTTAATTAAGAATGTAGAGTCAGACTTCACAGCCTGAATTCTAGGGAACATTAGATCAGGAACTGTAGAAGTGTGTTACATGTAGTCAGGTTTGAACTTGGAGCACACAATTACAAATGGTAACTTTGGTATGTAACAGTAAGCGAGAACTATAAAGTCATTGTACTATCTAATCTCATTGAATCTTTCCTTGATTTTGTTTTATTTTTAAAAGACTGACTCAATTATGAATGCTTCCTGGCCTGTGGCAGGGCCTGTGGATGAGTCCTTGATCCGCTCTTCACAGTATCTCATGGAAGTAGCACATGACCTTAGACTACGGCTTAAGAACTATACAATGCCAGCTAAAGGGAAGGTGAAGTCTTTAAAACTTGTTTTCACATTTTTATTAGCTAATATATATTAGTTGTTCAAAGGGGTTTCTTTTAGGATATTTCCATGCATGTAATATACTTTGACCAAATTCACCCCCTTCTTACTCTAATTCCCCCTTCTTGCTTTCTTTATAATAGTACACACACAGTGTTTCCTAGAGATCATTTCTTAAACATTATTGGTCAAATGAAATTTAGCAATAGTGAAAATGAACACATTAAAATATATTGTGTTGTCTATATTCACTATAACTATAGTTCTGTAGCATGTATATTTTAAATGTTAAGGCAATGGTAATATATGTTAAGGGAGAGTCATTCTCACTTTTGGCCTATGTAAAAGCCAGTGTTTGTCCTTTTTCCCTCTTTTGTAGAAGGCAGACAAGCAGCCACCTCAGAGGCCCTCGCATTGCACCATTTATGTGGCCAAGAACTACCCACCATGGCAGCACAGCACTCTGTCACTTCTGCGTAACCACTTTGAGGTGATGCCCTCACCTATTTCTCCCCTGAGTAATGTTGTGTCCCACTTAGGATGTTTTTGTTTTTTGGATGTTAGTGATGTCTGGAAGAAAGGAGACAGGCGGCTTTGTTTAATTCCCTCAAGGCAGGGAATGTCCTTTGTTATCCTTGGTAGCTCATAAGTGGATATTGAAGGAAAAAGTGCTGTTTTTTTCATTATTTCTAAACTTGCTTGTAAAGATGTATCTAGTTGTAGGTAATTAAATGGTGTGGGTTACAATTCTGAAGCAAAAGAATAGAGATTTTCTTTTGAATTTCTTACAACTTTAATAGTAGGATTCAGGAATTCTTAAACTTCCTATATTTGAAGTAAATTGAAACTTTCTTCTGCAGTATTTGTTTGTTGCTTTGTTTACTTTGAGATAGGGTCTCAATATGTAGCCTAAAATGCCCTCAAACTTACCATCCTCCAGCCTCATCCTCCTGCATGCTGGGATTATACCCAGCTGGTCTTGAGAACTTTGAAAGAAAATGTTCAACTTGATAATTACCCACAGAAATTTATACTCAAAGAAGTTTTGGGTTCTGTTAGGCAAATAGCTATGAAGTATGATAGTGCTATTTAAAGGAAATTCAATACTGAGGTTTGCAAGGCAGACTCTACCAGTTGAGCCACTCCACAGTTCCTTTTTACATTGGGTATGTTTTGAGATGAGTCTTGCTTTATGCCAGGGCAAGCCTATTTGTGCTTCTCTGTGTCATTGAGATGACAGGGATACAACACCATACCCAGCCATCGATTGAAATATTCTTTTTTAAAAATTTTTTTGGTTGGTCATGGGGCCTGAACTCTGGGCCTGGGCGCTGTCCCTCAGCTCTTCAGCTCAAGGCTAGCACTCTACCACTTGAGCCACCGTGCCATTTCTGGCTTTTTCTGCTTATGTGGTGCTGAGGAATTGAACCCAGGACCTCATGCATGCAAGACAAGCACTCTTCCACTAAGCTACCTTCCCAGCTCTCGATTGAGGTATTCTTGTGAACTTTTTTGCCTGGGCTGATCTCACATGACAGTCCCCTCATTCTGCCTCCATGTAGCTGAGAGTACAGGCTTGTGCTATTATAATTAGTTGTTTTTCTTTACATTCAAAGTATAGGAATAGACAGTGTGTTGACTTTTTTTGATCAGTTGTGGGGCTTGAACACAGGGTCTAGGCACTGTCTCTGAGCTTTTTCTCTCAAGGATAGTGCTTTACCACCTTGAGTTTCAGGCTGTTCTAGTTTCCTGGTGGTTAATTGGAGGTAAGAGTCTTACAGACAGGGCTGGGAAGGTGGCTCAGTGGTAGAGTGCTTGTCTTGCATGCCTGAGGCCCTGGGTTTGATTCCTCAGCACCACATAAGCAAAAAGAAAAAAGCCAGAAGTGGCGCTGTGGCTCAAGTGGTAGAGTACTAGCCTTGAGCTGAAGAGCTGAAGGACAGTGCCCAGGCCCAGAGTTCAGGTCCCATGACTGGACCCCCCCCCCCCCCCCCCCACCGCACCCCCCACCAAAAAAAAAAAAGTCTTACAGACATTCCTGCCTGGGCTGTCTTTGAACTGCAGTTCTCAGAACTCAGCCTCCTGAGTAACTAGGATTACTGGTGTGAGCCACTTGTGCCCAGCTTAATTTTGATTTTTGGTTTTATTTTATTTTAATTTTTGGTTGGTCATGGGACCTGAACTCTAGTCCTGGGTGCTGTCCCTCAGCTCCTCAGCTCAAGGCTAGCGCTCTACCACTTGAGCCACAGTGCCACTTCTGGCTTTTTCGGCTTATGTGGTGCTGAAGAATCAAAGTCAGGGCCTCATGCAAGCACTCTACCACTGAGCCACCTTCCAGCCCCTTAATTTTGACTCTTGTTCACTTTAAAAAAGTGATACCAAATAAGGATGTGGTCAAACTGTAAAGAAAAAGCCATAGTTTTGACTTTCAGGATTTTTGTCAGTTTTGCTGCAGTACTTTTCATAGTTAATTAAGAAGTTCAGAAAAGGCACAAGTACATTTGTAAAATGATGGGAAGAGAAGAGCAAGTACTTTGTGTGTTCTTTGAAATTCTGTTTGTCTGCAGAACATCACTTTTGTATATAATAGAAATTGAAGATAGTCTTCACAATATGCTTGCAGACACAGAGATATAGTGTGTAACAGGCAGGTAGAGAAATGAACTCTGCCTTGGTTGATGACATTCATACCAGCAATTCCAAGGAAGCAGCTGAAGAGTGAAATATAGAGCAAAGCAATTGTTCTTGGTACTAAGAAGTACTCTACCTCTTTGCTTTTATATTTTAACTTTGCATTCTTTGAGTAGATATCAGTTTCAATACAGTATCATCCATCATTTGCCATTATTGCTTCTTTTTGAAGCTTTTTTTTTTTTTTTTACTTTTTGTATATATTTTTTATTGTAAAAATACTGTACCAGAGGGTTACAGTTACTATTGAGCATTGTTACCTCCTTCTTTGTTTTTCCCCTACCATCCCTTCTCACACCACCTCCCCCACTCCCCCCCCCCCCCCCCCCCAAGCTTTGTTTTTATCCAAAAGGGCTAAAAGAATGTTAGTTTGTAATCTAGAAGTCTTCTGAGGCTGAGTATGGTCACATTTGATGATATGTGGCAAAGGAATGTTTCCCATCCTTTCCTTTTCTTTAATTTGTGTTTCAGAGGAACACATGGACAAGTAAAGGAAATATTTTTCTCTGTGAACTTTAGTAAAGGTTAGAATTGAAATGTAAATAGATTATTTGGAATCCTACTACATACAACTTTTCATTTATATTTCATTCCCAGCCCTTGGCTTTGATGCTGTGCTTACATCTAGGAAAATGAAAAGTCACTCAAAACTCTGAAAAGGCTACTTGCTTTATTTACTGAAAATGCCATAGTTGTTTGCAGAAATGAATTTAAATTGGGTTAGCATTTGGGATTGTATGCCTATTAATGATACATAGGTGCTTATTTTGAGTAGATAGAAACAGTATTATTTGAACATGTCATAACTAGGGATTTTTTTTCACATTTGAAGTAGCAATTTATAAAGAAGAACATTCTAAACAGACACACAACTTGCATAATAGTTGTGTAGTTTTCTTTTTTAATATAACTAATGAAATGTTTTGAGAACTTTGAAGACAAGGTGTTTACAAGAGTATAACAGGTTTTTTTTTTTTTAAACCAGGTGAGATCTAATGTTAGGATCCTAGAGGTACTATTATTGTAAAGAAGATGTAAATATTTAATAGATTGCTCTCATTTTTGTTCTTTAAACTAAAAGCAAGTATCTGGTGAATTTAGAAGGAGGGGACGTCTCCCATCTACATTGTTCCATTTGGTTTTCATTTCCCACTGATGCTGGTGCCACCCTCTTCTCTGCTGCTTTTTATCAGACTCATAGAGACTGCCATTCTGTGGCTGCCAGACTTCCTAGAAGCACATCTACAGTCCTACATTATCTTTAAAATAATTTTACTTTTTAAAGTTTTTTATTGTGAAAATACCGTATAGAGGGGTTACAATTACATGAGCAAAATGAGTACATTTCTTATCAAGCATTGTTGCCTCCTCCTTTGTTTCCCCTTCCCATCCCTTCTCATCCTTCATCCTTTCCCATCCCCCCCTCCCCCCCCCCCCCCCCCCCCCGCAAAATTGTGAAGTTCGTTTTTTGACATAATGTCTTGTACATCTCAATGGATCCACCTGTATCCCTATTTAAACAATTTGTTTTTTCCCTTCCTCTCCTCAAATTATGCCAACATCAAATACAGTGAAAACAGGGGTTATACTGTGGGGGAGGGACATATAAAGCAACAAAGAAATCATCTTATAAATATGTCTTTAAAATATTATCTTTAAAATATCTTTAAAATATTTCTCTCCCTCCTCCTCACTTTTAGGCCAACAGTGGAAAATTGCCTGATAACAAAGTCATTGCTAGTGAACTAAGTAATCTACCAGAGTTAAAGAAATACATGAAGAAAGTTATGCCATTTGTTGCCATGATTAAGGTAAGCAAACTGTGGACCTTGTACAGCTGTAACCACGTGAGTAATGATTAGACAGGACAGTAAGGGAAAAAAAAAAGCTTGGGCACAGTCTTTCCCCAGAGATCTGCTAAAGTAGCACTTTTCAATCAGTGGTTGTGAAAAATGAGCTATCAGATTTTAAGTTTACCTGTGAGTTGCTGAGTATGTGAAAATATGTATTATGGATGAAAAATTGGTTTAGGATTGCTGCACTAAATTATTCCCTTCATTTCCTACTTTCCCTTCTTTTCAATTTGGGAAGGAAACATATCCTTTTGGCTTATATTAAGTTGTTGTTGTTAGATTCTGTTACTGGAGCCAAATCTCTACATTTGTATAGGTTTAGCTTAACTGGATAAACTTTGTTTATAGCAATCTGACAAAGATTTCTCAACAATGGCTCTATTGATATTTTGGGCTAGATAGTTGTTTGTTATGGAAATGTTGCCTTCTCTTGATAGTGATTACATTTGTTGAACCAGCATTACACAGAGTGGTTCTGTATTTTAAAAAATGATGTCGATGTGCCAGGGAAAAATTAAGTATTTTTGCAAACTTTGAAAATGATTAATCAATCTGAGGACAGGAAAATGACTTTCTAGTACTTTTTCGTGAACAAGAGGCACTAGACAGTATCATACTCTATTTTCTGCTGCTGTAACAGAATACTACAGACTAAATTTTTTTTTTTCCTTTTTGTGGTGCTGGCGATTGAGCTCAGGGCCTTAGACATGCTAGGCAAGTGCTCTACTGCTGAGCTACAGCCCCAGCTGGAGAATGGGTAATTACCATAAAGTATAGAATCTTACTAGAGGTAGAGAGGCTAAGAGCATCGACATCTTGTGAAGGTCTTTTTTGTGTGTCTGCCATGGCAAAGTAGTAATTGAGGCAGCACCTCTGGGCCAGATAGGGAGCAGTGGACTGAATCTCTTTTATCAGGAGTACATTCCTACAATAATTAATCTCCTTCATATGGAAGGCATTAATCCATGGCACATGGTAATCTAAAGCCATGCAGAGCAGGGGCAATGTTGGGTCACTTTTATGTAACATGTTCCAGGCAGCTCTTTCTGAACTTCATGACTTGATTTTTAAGTACACATTTTGAGCAGCAAATATTTTATATTTAAGTCAAGATAATTACAAATCACTCAGAGATTGGTTTTTGTATGCCACAAGATTATCTGAATACATATGTAGTGTAAGTTTAAACTTTGATACATTTGTGAAATTTTCATTTGGTATTTTGTAAAATTATTAAAAGATGATTTTGATTACTTGAAAGTATATTTTCCTACATTTCTTGGCTTTCTTGTCAAAGTAAACACCTTGAGTTTGCACATTAAGCTGGTCTAAATAAACAGTGATAAAACCGTATGTTTCCTAAACCTGAAAACTTTGGGCCTTCTAGTCTTTTCATTGCTGTCTTAAATCTTATCTTTTAATAATTACTCTGAGTTAGTAATTTCATTAACAAGAAAATACAGATAAGGGAAACCTACAAAGTCTAAGGCCTTTCCTATAGCTAAAATTTAAAGATTTATATCAGTTGAGAGAAGAATGATTGCTTTGGAGGAAATATATTGTGTTCAACATATCCTGTTTTTGATTTGGTTTTTCAAAATTATTTTGGCTATTAGGAAAATGTGGAGAAGATGGGGCCTCATGTTTTGGATTTGCAATTGGAATTTGATGAACAGGCAGTGCTAATAGAGAATATTGTCTACCTGACTAATTCCCTTGAGGTAAGAGGCCAGGAATTAATTATTAATAAACTGTATAATACAATTTCTTTCTTAAAAAATAATAAATGTTTTTATAAACTTCATGTTCTATGTTTAGTACTTTGATTTGAAAGTATTTTTGGGGCTTGGAATGTGGATTAGTGGTAGAGTGCTTGCCTAGCATGCATGAAGCCCTGGGTTCGATTCCTCAGTACCACATAAATAGAAAAAACTGGAAGTGGGGCTGTGGCTCAAGTGGTAGAGTTCTGGCCTTGAGCAAAAGAAGCTCAGGGACAGTGCCCAAGCCTTGAATTCAAGCTCCAGCCCCAGGATTGGCAAAGGAAAAAAAAAAGTATATTTTTGGGGAGAGAGAATGCCAAGGTATAAAAGTTACAAAAGTATCAGAATGTTTGTCATCTTATTTCATTTATCAGTTATATGTCAAAAATAAAATATATACATCATCTTTAAAATAATGAGGAAATGCTTTCAAAATCTCATAGAACACAATGAATTGTCCCTCCTCTTCCTTCACACTTCAGGTTCACAGAAGTGGATTAATGATCATTTCTGGTTCATAAAATACTATCAGTCAAACTTTATACACAGATTCTAAACCTGCTTTCTTAGCTTTGACAGAAGGAAAAATATTTTGCATGTTAGTAGACATCTATTTTAAACATGTCTCTGAATGTTCATATGTATTCATTTAAGTAAAAAATGTCATTAGCCTTTTCATTTGGACAGCTTTATATTGAGGGCCATCTCATATCCAAGGATATGTATGTTCCTGAACTTTTCCATTTATTTAAATGGAAGCCTTTCATTCTCAAAATGACAAATTTGTCAACTTCTAAGAAGAAGCCTTTTATGCTGATACTGTTTCTTTCATGTGGAAGATGCCAGCTTTTGTTATAAAAAATGATACACTTGACTATATAAGTAACACTACCATGACACTTCTAAGATGAGTAATAAATAACCAATTGCAGATTTCATCTAATGTTTATATGGAAAAATAATAAAGTTGCATAGATTATTGGATGTTAAGTGGGGAACCTAGTTTTCTGTTGAAATGAAGTAGTGATTAATTTCAATCATATTAAATGATACTAATGACTTCTATTTTTTCCTCTCTATTTAGCTAGAACACATAGAAATCAAGTTTGCCTCTGAAGCAGAAGATAAAATCAGGGAAGATTGTTGTCCTGGGAAACCCCTTAATGTTTTTAGAACAGAAGTAAGTTGAAGGAATATTACTGAATCACTGCACTTTAGAGCTAGGAGAGACCTTAGAGGTTATTATGAACCCATTGTTTTAAAGATGCAAGGAAGATCCAGAGAAGTTAAGTGAATGGTTTATTCCAGACCGCAGTCAGAAATGTTGTGAGTCCTGATTCCCTAGTACTCACTTTCCCTTCCCTAAAACTTTCAAACTTTGGGTACATTTTGGTTTGTTAATCAAGGCTTTTGTTGTTTGGTGTAAACCTCATTAATTTATCATCCTAAATTATTCTGGAGTTTCTTTTTTTTTGTCATGTGACAATAAAAGGGTTTTAGAGATTCTGTTTAGCCTCACATAGTTCATTTGGATTTGGCAAAGTCCAGTGAACTAAAATATGAGTCTGTATAATGCCCTTCTACTCTTGACTGAGATAAGCTGGGTGCTTGGGTACTAAGGAGGCTGAGATCTGAGGATCAAGGTTTGAAGCCAGGCCCAGCAGACAAGGCATAGAGACTCTATCTTACCCAGTAAAGGCTAAAAGTGGAGCTATGGTTCAAGTGCCAGCCTTAAGTGAAAAAGCCAAGCAAGAGTGTAAGGAACAGAGTTCAAGTCCCAGTACTGGTGTGTGCTCGTGAGCATGCACATGCACACGTAAACACACACACACACACACACACACACACACACAGAAATAAAAGATCTTGATAAGAAACTGAATACATTGTTAATTTTATCATATCAATTTAAAACTCCAACCTACTTCTATTTGAAATGCCTTTTGTTGTTGTTGTTGTTGGTTGTGGGGCTTGAACTCTGGGCCTAGATGCTGTCCTTGAGCTCTTCAGCTCAATGCGAGTGCTCTACTACGAGTGCTCTACTACTTGAGCTCTACTACTTGAGCCGTAGCACCACTTCTGGTTTTCTGGTGGTTAATTGGAGATTAGAGTCTCACAGACTTTCCTGCCTGGACTGGCTTTGAAGCATGATCCTCAGATCTCAGCCTCCTGAGTAGCTAGGATTACAGGCGTGAGCCACTGGCACCTGGCTTAAAATGCTTATTTTGAAGGATACCTCATCACAATCAGGAATTTACCATTGTGTAATATTCTAAGTACGTAAAGGTGTGGAACTTTCAATATTAAAGTCATTTAGGCCAGGAAGTAGATATATGTGATATTGTTCTATATATAAATGTATTATTTCAAGTCACTTTCAAGGATTCCATTAAGCTGATATGTCTTTAAGTCTTTCGTAAGACTCAATCAACTTTTTTCCATTTCATGACCAGAGTTTAGTCCAGCATAGTGTCTATAATGTGGGAGGTAGTATGGCATACAACTGCATTTAATCTTTGACCTACTACTTGTTCTTGTGTGACCATAGGCTAATTTCTTAATCTTTTAGGTTCTCAGCTTTTCTTTTCAAAGCACTGCCTTTCAGGCTATGGGACTGATGTCTGCAAAGTGCTTTGTGCAGTACTTGATAGATAATAGAAATCCACAATTGATGGTAGTTGTGGAAGAGAAAATGTAACGATTGTTCTTATCATCAGTATTGGTAAATAGAGCTATAGTCATTTTTACTGAGGCATTGGTAATAAGCATGAACTTATGTAGCTTTTTTTCTTCATATTTGAGTATGTCTTGGTCATGTTTTAGAATACCAGAATTAGATCTTGCTTTCACTGGATACTGAAAATACTTGGCAATATTTAAGTTTGATTTCTATTACAATCGTTTATTTTTTATTTTTGTAGCCTGGTGTGCCAATTTCCCTAGTAAATCCCCAGCCATCTAATGGCCACTTCTCAACCAAGATTGAAGTCAGGCAAGGAGATAATTGTGATTCCATAATAAGGCGTTTAATGAAAATAGACCGAGGAATCAAAGGTAAGTGGTTTTCCTGAATACTCATGTTTGATAGTAGTTTGTGAATTTGATGAGTTCTAAGCAGAGTGGAGAAAGAAAAGTAACTGATTGTTTAGAGATACCACAAAGCACTGTGGAAAGATTATTGGTCCCTGAATCAAGAAACTCAGATTATTTACCTTGGTGACTTTGTCACTTAATCTCTAAGCTCATTTCTCTTTTAGTAAATAAGGACACTGGCTTAGCTATTTATTCAAGACCTTGTTTTGCTTACTATTGTAACAAATAGCTGCTGTCTATTCATTATTCGAGAACATGCCTTTAATGTTCTAAACTAACCAGTCCATCTAATTCTGTTCCTGGACAGAAAGAAAAAATTTTCAAGTATGGCTATTTTCTGATTTTTAATGTAACAACGTTACAATGTAAAAAGGCAGCCCTCTAATGTAAAACCCTATTGTTTCCCTGTTCATACATCATTAGGGAGGCTCAGTGGAGGCTCAGAAAAGCTAAGTTAACTTGGCAGAATTTGCTCAACTAGTAAACCTTGGAGCTATAATTCAGACTTAGTTTTGACTCCAAAGTGCATATTCTTCTAAACAATGTGTGTTCATTTTAATCTAGTAAATCATCTAAATTTCTAATTAAAATTCAGTCTATATCTTCTGTGATTAGATTTAAATTTTTTTAAATATATATTTTTTATTGTAAAGATACTGTACAGAGGGGTTAAAGTTACATGAGCAAGGTAATGAATACATTTCCTATTGAGCATTGTTCCCCCTCCTTTGTACATATGGTCATATGTACATAGCTTTTGACCTCTTCTGCTTGTCCTAGACATTAACTCGTTATTGCAGATAAAAGCATGGGACCTATGTTTCTTTGAGTCTGGCTTACTTAATATAATTTTTTCCAAGTCTTTCTATTTTCTAACAAATGGGGTGATGTCATTCTTTCTGATGGAGGCATAGAATTCCACTGATCCATTCATCTGATTAGATTTTATGAACTAACTCATGGCTTCTTTTTTTTTTAATCACCCAGTTGGGTGGTCCTAGGCAGAGCAGAATGTGAAGGGAGTGTGTCTCTGTATTATTTTTCTTCCGAGTTATGAAGACAAGTTCATCTTAAAATGCTGCTTTGTATAATTTTTCTCTTCTTTTTTTCATTTGCTTATTTTTTTCATTTCTTTACCATGCTCAGGATCAAACCCAAGGTTTTACAATGTTAGCCAAGTACTCTGCTAAGTTATACCCCTAGCCCTTTTCATTTTAATATTAATCAAAGGTGATTGGGCCCTGTGTGGTGATACATTATAATTTAAACATTTGGAAGGTTGAGACCAAACTGGACTGCATAATGAGTTTCAAACCTATCTGGCTTATCAAAAAGAAAACAATAGATTGGTTCTTTTTTTTTTTTTTGGTTGGTTTGAACTCTGGGCCTGGGTGCTGTCCCTCAACTGTTCAGCTCAAGGCTAGTAAGTGATCTACCACTTGAGCCACAGCGCCACTTCTGGTTTTCTGGTGGTTTATTGGAGATAAGAGTCTCACGGACTTTCCTGCTTGGCTGGCTTTTGAACTGTGATCCTCAGATCTCAGTCTCCTGAGTAGCTAGGATTACAAGCGTGAGCCACCAGCACCTGGTTAATAGATTGATTCTTTTTCCATCAGTTTGAAAATTTTGTAAAATTTATAAATCTTTAGACATTGAATTAGTTTTTGGATTATTTCACTAAAAAGTCAAGAATTCATTCTGCCATATATTTTGTATTCTACAATTATTCATTTCCCTTCTGTGGTCATCTAGTGTGAGACCACTATGTATAGTTTATATGGAGATGCCTGTATGTAGAGAAACAGCAGTGTAAGCCCTGGGCCCTAGGGATTCCACAAAGTGGTGGTGACCAGGAGCTGCACTAAGTGAAGTGGTGGAGAACTAAGCTAATGAAGCACTTAGCTACAATCTAAGTAGGAACTCCTGGACCCAGTGAGAAAGGTACAGGTGAAATGTCTAATGTAGAGGTTGGTGAGTTTATCTTCAGCTATACTGATTAAGGAAGACTCAGGGAGATTATCCATGTAAATTCATAGAGGAAAAAAGTACTTGCTAGGTGCTGGGGGCTCATGCCTGTAACCCTATCTACTCAGGAGGCTGAGATCTAAGGATCGTGATTCAAAGCCAGCCTGGTCAGGAAAGTCTGTGAGACTCTTATCTCTAAAAAACTACCAGAAAATTGGAAGTGGAGCTGTGGCTCAAGTGGTAGAGTGGTCACCTTGAGCTGAAGAGCTCAGGGACAGTACCCAGGCCCAGAGTTCAAGCCCCACGACCTCCCCCCACCAAAAAAAAAAAGTACTTTCACTATATATAGAGCATTATCACCAGCTTATATTAGAGTTAATGATTTTATTGTTTATAAATATGCCTTTATGGTAAAATAATATGTAAGAGAAAATCTGCCATCTTGTTCCTTTTTCTTTTAGAGATAAGGTCTCACTATGTAGCCCATTCTGGCCTCAAATTTGAGAGCCTCCTGCCTTTGCCTTCTGACTTCTACAAGTACAGGTTTAGGCCACTATGCCCAGCTGTTTTAGTCTTTTTTTTCTTCCTGTACTAAGGCTTGAACTCAGGGTCTTGAGCTGTTGCTTGCCTTTTTTTTTTTTTTCCTTCCCCTACTCAAGGCTGGTGCCACATCTATACTTGAGCCACATCTACACTTCTGGTATTTTATTGGTGTTACTTGGAGTAAGTCTCTTGGATTTGTCTATTTGGGCTGGCTTTGAACCAAGATCATCAGATTTCAGCTTCCTTAGTATCTAGGATTACAGATGGGAGTCATCAGTGCCTGGTGATTTTAGTGATTTTTAAGTGTACTGTTCAGTGACACTAAGTACATTCACACTGTTGTACAACTATCACCACCATTTCCAGAACTTTTTCATATTCTCAAGCTAAAACCTTGTACTCATTAAACCACAGTCACCCACTTTGCTTTCTGTCAGTTACTAGTAACCACTGTTCAACCTTTTGCTTATACATATTTGACTAATTTAGGTACAGTTATTCTCTCATTTGTCACACAGCCATGAATAATACCATTTTACAATGTTTTGTTTGGTATTAGTTTCTATAAAAGAAACAGGGAGAGTTTGAATTGGTATTCCTGTAAGAATCTACAGAAGAGATCTAACCTTGATACTTTCCCAGTCATTCTCAGGATGCACTGATATCTAAGAGGCTGAGTACTTTGAGTATATGAGATGGAAAAGGAGTTAAATTCAATAATATCATTCTTTGTCTTCTGCCATAACCAGCAAGTCCTCCAATTAGTGCCAATTGTATCAAGGGTGATTATGATCTAGGTCCAGGAGGAATAGTCTAAAGCCATCATTTCACTCTACAAAAGCCTCTGAGCAAATGTTTGATGATAATGACTTTAAATCACTCACAACCTGTGCCACATATGAACTAATAACTTGGAGGTGAAAGGCTTCATTTCACTTTATCAGTCTCCAGGGACTTTCAATCACTCTCATCTTTTCTTTAAGTGCCTTAAATCTTGTATAGTTACAAACTTAAATTTCAACATTTTCAGTGATCAGAGAGGTTTGGGATGAGAAAAGATACTAAAAACACTAATAAAGCTCCAAGAATTTATTGACAATAATGAACTGCATGGTGAAACATCAAAGCAAGTGCATTTTGTCACTTAGAAGCTTGATTGAGTATTAAGATTTCTTTGAAATAGTTTGAATCAAAATTGCTTGAAATGATGAACAAGGGCTCTTGGGGACAGTGAGGGGAAATCTCCAGCAAAAGGCCTTATATATAAAATCTGCTGACAAGAGCTGTCACTTCTGTAGCAAAATATTTGCTTCCACTCATGTACAGGTTGAATTGCAGTAACTGTTAAAATGAATTGTATTCTTCCTTCAAATAAGATCATGGCTATTATGAAGACTTTTGTGTTCCTTTCCTCTTTTAATTTTCAGAGCTTGTGCTCTGTCTGGAATAGATTATATGTCCTTTGCAGAGACCCTCCAAAGACTTTGAGGCAGAGTTTGGTTTCATGGTAGTGTCAGGTAATTGCTCTATAAGCCCCAAGATCTTGTCTCTAAACTTGCAGTCTTCTAGTCTTTGTTTTCCAAAGAGAACAAGACTGGATAACTTATATTGCTGGTATTGCTACCAGCTGCATTAAGTCTCCTTTTATCTCTTATCCTTTTCATGCTATGCTTTGTATTCCCAGTGCAACACAAGAATGTAGCTCCCAGACCACCTAGAATCTGTTTGAGAAAGGGTTGCAAGTAATTTAGAAAATATCTTCTTCCTTTTTTTTTTTTTTAATAATCAGGTTAAGCGTTACTAACCATGCTTCATTTAGAATGACATATAAATCCCAAATTAGCATTTTTAATTATTTATGGTATGTCCCTACCATATGAATTAAAGCCATTTGATGTTGGAAAGTATCAGAATTGCTTAAATGAGCTCAGTTGTTGGCAGGATTGTTGGATCAAACATTTGTTCATGAATCAGTTTCCTTTTGTTTGACCAGGAGCCGTATTATCAGCTTGTACAAGAGTCAGTCAAGGAGGGTAGGATTAGAGCTCATCTTAAAGCTCACAATTGTAAAAGCTGTGCCTTTTCCCTCTGCCATGCCCCCCTTTTCTGCTTATCACTCACTAACTTTTTAATTCACACTTTCATCTTTGAACTAAACAAGAAAAGGGTAATTCTGTTTCCTATAATCATTGTTTCTCCAGAAATATCTCCAAGAAAATCTACTTTAGCAAATCCTAGGAATCCCAAGAAAGAAATGTTTTAGACTTTTTGATCTTTTGAAGAATGACTAATTAAAGCACATAAAAGTGATTTAGGAGATCAGATAGGTTAGTACTCAAAAATATACTCAATTCTTCCTCTTTCCCGGCTTATCATTCCAGGAGATAGGCTATAGAGCCTCTTACAATATTTGATCTGGGTAAAAAGCAGAAAGGGGATAATGACAGTTAGACTTTTAGATGTGTGCCTGAGACTGGGTCCTATTGAATAATCTGATGAACATATTTTTACTTAAATGTAACTAGATTGTTTAAGATACGTGTTAACAGATTCATTTGTAGTTTCTGTCAGTCACTATGGATAATTGAGTGTTTATGTTGATAATCTCTTCTGCTGTAGACCTTTCCAAAGTGAAACTAATGAGATTTGATGATCCACTATTGGGGCCTCGGCGAGTTCCAGTCCTAGGGAAAGAGTGCATTGAAAAGACCCCCATTTCTGAGCATGCTACTTTCCATGTGGACCTCATGACCAAGAAAATTCATCTCTCTGAGAATGGGCTACAAGCAGATGTTGGCGATACAATTATTTATTTAGTTCATTAAACTTGTATAAATTGGAGGTCTAGTATGGTTCCTAGGGTTGCTACTTACTCATACCTTCATTCAAACCAGGAAGATTTTATTTCTACTGATCAACTTCTGTGTGTAATCATAATTATATCAAATTGTCTTTGATTTCTGGACCTAATAAACTTGTATTTTCCATCTTTAAGCCTCTAAGAGAAATGCTTTATTCCTTGCTTTGTTGTATTTTTTGAACAAATAATTGCAATTTCCCAGAAGCTTTGTCTCCCCTCCGCCTCCATAGATTCTAGTCTGTAACATAAGAGTGTGAATATGTGGGGTGCTTTATACTGTTTATGAAGACTAAGGAGTACATAATGGTTCTTTGATAAGATATCCACTTAAGAAGTTGGTGGGGATTTTTGCTTTATTGATTTTTTTTTTTTTGTGGTATTAAAGGTTGAACTCAGGAGGCCTTGCATTTGCTAAGCAAGTGCTCTACCACTTGAGCCACTCCCCCAGTCCTGATTTCTTGACAGTCCTAGGTTTTGAACTTAGGTCTTGGTGTTGGCTCGGGTTTGCTCTGCTGTTGTTCTGCCATTTGAGCCCTTGAGCCCATGCCTCCAGCCCCTTGATTTCTCATTTAATAAGAAAAAAAAAAAACAACCAAATTAGATAGCTAGTTCTATTTTTCATGGATTTTCCTGCCCAGGCTAGCTTTGAACTGTGATCCTCAAATCTTAGCCTTTTGAGTAGCTAAGATTACAGGTGTAAGCCACTGTTGCCAGACTTGAGAGAGCTTCTTGATGAACTGAATGTGCTTTTCATAAAGATATAGAAGGGGTTCTTAATATTAGCATGTATTACTAGTGAGAGGGTTTTCTTTGATAATTCTATACATTTGTGCAGTAGACTTTGAAAAATTCACCCCCTTTATATTTCATTCCCTTTTTCAGACACTGGTGGGTTTCATTTATGCCTTAATAACACACATACACACAAACACACAATGTCTTCTGATTTTTGTTGTTAGTTGTGAGGCTTGCACTCAATGCCTGGGTGCTGTCCTTGAGCTTCTGTTGCTCAAAGCTAGCACTCTACCACTTTGAGCCACAACTCTACTTTCAGGTTTTGAGTGGTTAATTGGAGATGAGTCTCATGTGGACTTTTCTGCTCAGGCTGGCTTTGAACTGTGATCTTCAGATCTCAGCCTCCTGAGTAGCTAGGATTATAGGTGTGAGCTACACCGCCTTATGTCTTCTAATTTTCTTCATCCATTACTATCCCCTTCTTTTACCCTTCCATCTCTGGTCTCCCCCTAAATAGTCTCCCTTTTACATTCATGTTCCATGTCATTGCCATCATCATCATTGGCCTGTATGTCACAAATAAGAGCATGCTGTTTGAGTTTGGCTTACCTTGCTCATCATGATGATCTCCAGTTCCATTTGTTTTTCTGCAATTGACAATTCCACTTTTCTTTATGTGTATCATATTTTCTTTATTCATTGATTATTAGATATCTTGGATAATTTAATAATTTGACTATTGTGAACAGTGCTGTAATGAACATGGGTATTTCCTTTGCTTATTTGCAAAACAGTGGAGTGGCAGGGCTGGGAAGGGGGCTCAATGGTAGAGCACTTGCCTTGCATGCTCGAGGCCCTGGGTTCGATTCCTCAGCACCACATAAGAAAAAAGCCAGAAGTGGCGCTGTGGCTCAAGTGGTAGAGTGCTAGCCTTGAGCTGAAGAGCTGAGGGACAGCACCCAGGCCCAGAGTTCAGGCCCCACGACTGGACCCCCCCCCCCAAAAAAAAGAGTGGAGTGGCAAAGTCATAAGATAGGACTAGTTCTCGGTTTAGAGGACCTCTTTATCAATTTCAATAGAGATTGTATTAGTTTACATTCCCACCAACAGGGTATGAGGGTTTCTCTCTCCCATACCCTTTTCAGAATTTGTTACTGTTTTCTTGATGACGTCTCTGCTCATATGTCTGGGGTGAGAGAATCTTAGTGTAGTTTTGATTTGCATTTCTTTTATGCTAAGAAGGTCCAGTATTTCTTCATGTATTCATTATTCATATATATAACAATATATATTTTTTATGTATATATATATAGATAGATAGATAGATAGATAGATATAGATATATATGGTTTTTGTTTTTGTTTTTAGCCAGTCCTAGAGTCTGAACTCAGGGCCTAGGCACTGTCCCCGAACTTCTTTTGTTCAAGGCTAGTTCTCTACTACTTGAGCCATAGTACCACTTTTGGCTTTTTCTGTTTATGTGATACTGAGGAATTGAACCCAAGGCTTCATGCATGCTAGGCAAGCACTCTACCACTAAGCCTCATTCCCTTTATATTTCTTCTGAGAACTGTTAAGTTCATTTACCCATTTATTAATCGAATTATTTGTTATTTTGCTCTTTTATGTGCTCTTTGTTCTCTTGGTTCTAATCATTGTTTCTTTTGATGTGAAGAAAAAAATAAATACAGCCCCATTTGTGAATTCTTGCTCTTATTTGCTGGGCAATTGGAGGCCTATTCATAGAATATAATTACCTAGGGGCTGGGAATGTGGCTTAGTGGTAGAGTGCTTGCCTAGAATGCATGAAGCCCCCTGAGTTTGATTCCTCTGTACTACATAAACAGAAAAAGCTGGAAGTGGCACTGTGGCTCAAGAGGTAGAGTGCTTTGAGTAAAATAAGCCCAGGGACTGGTAGGAGGAGGATGAGGAGGAGAGATAATTACCTATTTAAACAACAACAAGAAGAAGAGATAATTACCTATTTACCTATGCCTACATTTTCCAGTTTTAAAGATATATATTGTATAGTATATTAACCTGTATCTCTTAAGAACTAAAATGGTCTGTAAAATCATAATGGCATCAAATATGCAGAAAAGATACTCAAGTGAAAAAACAATTAGTTGAAATGTTGAAGAAAAAGCAGTCTATTGGATTTATTATATTGATTGTATGTGAGTATTTTTCTAAGGATTTAACTACATTTACTTGTTAAATAACTACATTTACTTGTTAAATAGCATGCACACAAAAAGTCAACAATAAAAAATATAAGTGAATCCCACCTAAAAAAACATCAGAAAATAAGACACCTGTGTAATCACCAATTGAGGAATGGCTCAATGCTAGCAGCAAATTGTACTTGAACTTTATGGCTCAATGCATGATCAATTATTAGCAACTGCACAATGTGAGCTTTAATGTATATCTACATTTATACAGGTATATATGTATCCACTAGGTCACAGTTGCAGGTCAAAGTATTTATCAGTTTTTATTCTTGTTTTCTTTGTTCTTTTCTCTTTTGGGAGATGTACTGAAGATACTCATGGCTATTGACTTGTCTATAATATCTCCTTACAGTGCTGACAATGATTTTGAGGCCTTGTTACTAGATGAGTATAAAGTGAAATTGTATCTAACCAGAATTTTTTTAATTAGAAAATTTTCCACGTAATATTTTTGATTTGGGCCTAATTGCTACTGTACCTAACATTAATGTAATAATACCAGTTTTGGTTAGCATTCATTTGAAATATCTTCATCTTTTTTACTTTTCTCTTGTAGCTTTATTTTATTTTGGGGAATCTGAAGTTTAGAGAAAAGTTGAGAAAATTGTTGGATAAACAGGCACCAAGATTTATGAATTGTTGGTATTTTGCCACATTCATGTTCTCTAGAAACATTTCTGAAGTAAGCTTTTGTTTCAGAATGGTATTAGATTTACAGAAAGATTTATGACTTCTGTATGATTTTTGCCAAGTTTCCTGTTAACATCTTACATAAATAATACATTACTAACTATAGACTTAATTCATATTTGACCAGTTTTCCACTACTATTTATTATTATAGGATCCTATCCCCTGACCACTTTGTATTTAAAATAAAAATTCATATTATTATTATTATAATATTTGCTGGTCTTGGGGCTTAAACTCAGGGTCTGGTTGCTGTCCCTCAGCTTCTTTTGCTTAAGGGTAATGCTCTTCCACAGTGGAGCCACAGCTCCACTTCTGGCTTTTTCTTTTCTTTCTTGCTTTTGGCTAGAATACTTTCTTTTTTGTTGTAGTTGTTGTTGTTGTTGGGCATGGGGTCTGAATTCTGGGCCTGGGCGCTGTCCCTCAGTTCTTCAGCTGAAGGCTAGCACTCTACCACTTGAACCACAGCCACTTCTGGCTTTTTCTGCTTTATGTGGTGCTAATGAATTGAACCCAGGACCTCATACATGCAAGGCAAGCACTCTACCACTGAGCCACCTTCCCAGGTCTAGAATATATGTTTTGAAAGTTCTGAACCACTTGACAATAAGTCATAGACTCTGTGACACTCATTTTTCTTTTTCCTTTTGGTGGTACTAGAACTTATGGCTGTCTACTTGAGCCATAGCTCCACTTCTGGTGCTGTGTGTGTGTGTGTGTGTGTGTGTGTGTGTGTGTGTGTGTGTGTGTGTGTGTGTGTGTGTGTGTGTGTGTGTGTGTGTGTGTGTGTGTGTGTGTGTGTGTGTGGTGGTTAATTGGAAATAAGAGTCTCATGGACTTTCGTGTGTGTGTGTGTGTGTGTGTGTGTGTGTGTGTGTGTGTGTGTGTGTGTGGTGGTTAATTGGAAATAAGAGTCTCATGGACTTTCGTGTGTGTGTGTGTGTGTGTGTGTGTGTGTGGTGGTTAATTGGAAATAAGAGTCTCATGGACTTTCTTGCCCAGGCTGGCTTTGAACCACAATCCTCAGGCCTCAGCCTTTTTAGTAGCTAGGACTGCAGGCATGAGCTACTAGCACCTAGCTGACACTCATTTTTCAGTGCATTGATATGCATAGCCTGAGCGCCAGGACAGTCTGTAGAATCACAATGGCATTACCATGCCCACGAAATTTAACATGATACAATTATACTAGTTGATAAGCTTTCTTGGGCTGGGCTTTTAGCTTAACAGCATAGTACTTGCTGGGTTTGATACCTAACATACACACAAAAATACCAATAAAATTGGAATAATGAAAATTTCTAGATGAATTAATTGCGTGTGTGTGTGTGTGTGTGTGTGTGTGTGTGTGTGTGTGTGTGTGTGTGTATTTATACCTCTGTCTGGATCCAAAGATCAAACCTTACATTTTGTGGTATATTGATCGTTAAACTGGGCATTGCTCTCCTTCCTGATAATCTTTCTGAAGACTAAGCT